CAGTGAAAAGTCGTCCTGCGTGTATGTATTTCCCGAGAAACAAAATTATCGCTCCAATCCACAAAGTGGGTAAGTTTCTAAAGAAACTTTGGTGCTGCGTCGGTGGGAGAGTATAACAGCTAGAGTAATTTAGTATTATCAACTGAGTTGATACCGTAATTAGCCACCGTAAATAGTCTCAAAGCTGACATTTCGCTATGACGAAAGGCTAACCTTAGAAACGTCAGCTTTGAAACTCTTTACGGTAGCCAATTGTTATCAACTCAGCAGATAAAACTAAATTACCCTTTAACCCCAATTGATTTGGTAAACCGTTGTAACAATCATCTTGAGACAAAAAGAGAGATAGGGCCGGAGCACTTTGATGTCCTTTTCAATATTGGCGTATCAATTTCTTTACAGAGATGGGACAACGAATTCTTAACTTGGAATATTAGTGATTATGGAGACGTGGATCGTGTTCATTTTGAGCCCAGGGAAATCTGGGTTCCTGATATAGCCCTGTTTAACAAGTAAGAATATTGCCTTTCCTTAATGCGTGTGGCTAGAGTTTTGAATTGTTAGTTTCCCTAAAAGGAATGGACAATCATATCCTTGAATTTTTTAAGAATTTTTTTTTCTTTGAAATCTGTCTATAGATTAGGGAATGATTAGGGTATTATTTGATAACGTTTCTGGAAATATGCCATAACATAAAATTTTAGAATTTAAAAACAACACAAAATCTTTACGAACACAAAGCTTGTTCAAGTCTGGGTATCTTGTTGATTTAAGCTTTACCAAAAAGGTTGTGCGCTTTAAATTGCCGTGAATTACTGGCTTATTTGAGACACTTTGACACTGAAAGCCTGAAATCACTCCACTTAGTCAAGGTTTACCGCTGTGTTTGTAATCTTCCAATGTCAGTTGGCGGAGTTCGCTTACAGCATTTATTTGTCTTTAGCGGTGACGATGATATCAACTTGGCTGGTGGACCTAGCAAGTTTGTCACCGACGTTGCTGTAGATCATACAGGAAAGTGTTCTTGGGGTGGACCGGCAACATTTAAAGTCAGTTGCAGAATGAAGATAGACCTGTGGCCATTTGATCAACAGGAGTGCCAACTTGCCTTTGGCTCGTTCAGTTATGGAGAAAACCTTCTGAAGTTAAATCTGTTTAAGGACCAAAGTAACTTTGCAAGTAAGGAATTTGTCAAGTGCTATAATTAACCTTTAAGGACGTTCCAAGAGTGTTTAAAATTGAAATAACCGACTGGAGATTTTATGAACAGATAGAAACCGTTAAAAGAAGTCTTCAGCTCAAACTAGTTAATGAAATGTATTCTCTGCAGCTTGATGTAGTGTGTAACTTAATGCAACTTGATTAGTTTTTGTTTTAATGTTCTGTCGTGCTGTTTTTACCGTGCTGTGTAGCCTGGTTTATGGATTTGATATAGTTTGGTGTAGTTATATTGAGTAGCTCGTGTAGTTGGTGTAGTTTAGCGTACTTTGGTGTAGTTTGGTGCAATTTTGGTGTAGTTAGGTGCAGTGTGATATAATCTAGTGGAGTTTAGTGAGAAAAAAAAATCCACAAGCTACATCAGACTACGTCAAACTACTTTAAGTATTTAACAAATAGATTCCAAGTTGCCGTGCGTTTGTTCAGTAATAGATCACAGATGCCGTCAAAATGTGGTTAGAACTAAAAAGTGGAACACGAGGCGCAGCCGAGTGTGTCATTGATGTTCTTACCACATTTTGACGTCCTCTGGGATCTATTACTGAACAGACGCACGGCAACTTGGAATCTATTTGTTTTATATAATAATGACTTTAAAAAAGTTTTAATGATCACGTCATCTATACGTCGGTCCTCCAATAGATCATAAGTGAGAACCAATCAGAATGCGTGCGTAACTGAGCTTAATATATAAATGGAAATGGACACCATTACACCAAATTGCACCAAACTTCACCAAACTGATCTACTAGGTTTAACCGGCCAAGCACTTACATTCTACAGTAACTGTTTTACGATTATATTCATTAGAGTTTTATTATAATCTCTTTTAGCCCGTTTCGTTGAGAGTGGAGACTGGGAAATCAAAAATATTACGGCCGCGATATCTAGCACTGATCACGGCGACTGCTGCCCGTTTAACTTCAGCGAAGTGGTTTACACCTTAACCATGGAACGAAAGTCACTGTACTATATGTTCTACCTCACTATTCCTTCTGTTTTACTGACCGTCCTCGCACTAAGCAGCTTCCTAATCCACGTTGAGAGTGGAGAACGTATTGGCTTTGTGACAACGGTTCTCCTGGCCATGACAGTGTTTCTGCTCGTTATCCCATCCTTCCTGCCTGTCACTTCGGACGGACTCCCAATCTTGGGGGTCAATCTCCAGGTCACTATGATCATCATAGCGTTAGTGTTGTTCGCCAACATATTTGTAGTGAGAGTGTATTTCAAGGAAGGAACCCCCCCTGGCTGGATCGAAAGATTCTGCGACTTCTGCAGCATCAAGAAGGGGAAAAGGGTGAGGAGGATAAATGTATCGCGGCCTAACAGTGGGTCTCATGAGGCTCGTGGACGATCCTCGGTAACAGTTAACGGTGTTGAGATGATGGAGTCAAATGACAAGAACCCACCACTAGATGACAGGATAGAAGAGGAACCAGAGTACACGTGGAAAAGAGTGGCTAAAAGAATGGATTACATGTTTCTTCTGGTTTTCCTTATCATTGCGACTGTGGCATATATTGTCACATTTGTATCACCGATGTAGACCTCTAACAAGCCATCCTAAAATTGTCACAGTGACAATATTCCTTGATGTGCTGTAAATCGAAAGTTGATGCTTGTATCCTTGATTTAGTTACAACTGATCAGAGCGAGCAACTTTTCATTAAATTGACACATGAGAAGAAGCTAGAGTAAATGACATAATGTACCAATCAAACCTGTATCATTAAGACCGCCGTGATATTTTCCCACGTGTTAAGTTAACTGTTTGCGCATGCGTACGAATCGTGTGTATATCTATTTATTTCAGCAGTACTTTTTGTAGTCGCACAAGACGGATTCTTCATAACACAATAAAATAAAACGTGCAGATCGTTTTCCGATATAAGGATAATAACTAACTGAAAATGGCAACTAGGATCCATTTAGGTCGGCTGTATTTTCAGCAAGTTAAAAATCAGAAATGAATGCTCGGATATGTAACATATGTTGTTACGTCGCATCGCCCACAGCGCAGTCTTTTGAAATAGCCATTCATGCTCCATAATCGTTGTGGTACTTGGAAGAAAATCATTTCATTATTACCATATGTCAAAATATTATCAAATTATTAATCAACCAGTTAATGATTCATATGACAACTTATTTTTATCAACTAAGTTCACAAAGATAACTGACTGAGTAAAGAGTTTCTAAAGCTGATATCTGGAGTGACGAAGGGCTAACGATCGAAACGTCAGCTTTACAAATAATTTTACGGTGGCTAATTTACATTGTCAACTAAGTTTTTTAATTCAAATTATCTTATAAAACTCCCAGCACAGCGCTACAATTTCTTTAAAACCTTACCGCAATGATTTGATTTAGCGCCTGAGGCGCTCAATTACATACATACATACATGCATACATCAACTTTATTTGTAAACGATGAATGATAAAAGCTAAACGCTTACAGGGTCTTGTGTTTAGTTATCTAATCGAATTAATAAGAAACTTAATAAATAGCTTAAGGCTCCTAACAAATACTAAAATATCACGTAAATACAGTTGTAACATCTTAAAATCCTAAAAATATCTCAAATCCTGATTGCTAAAATCAACTGTAAAGGCTAATTTTACTTTAAAAGTAAACTCTGTGAAATCTTTAATTTTACTTAATCTAGAGCTGATAGTTCTACGTGGCTCAGAAGCAATATCAGAGTATTTCGATGTTAGCACTCCAGAGGACTACCCCTCTATAACTAATAGATTGCTGTAAATAACGAGATGTAAACACAGCTTCACGATCAATACTGTGCTGGTATAAGCTGACTAAAGATGGGATCACTGCGTCTCCAGCCACTCTTAATAACTTTGGATGAATATTTTCCAGCATACTTTTTCACTTGCAATGAGTTAATCTTCCTGGATACCACTTCTCTGTTTAAGACAACCTGAGACAAAAGTGGTACCTTTTTGTTCTCCAAAGTTATAGGTTGCAGATACGTTGATGTTGGCAGTAAGTTATTTAGCTTATTCCCTACGTTAGAGAAAAATAAATTGATAAATTTAAGACGAGATGATTCCTTTGAAGGAACTGTGCAGTCACTTAAAAATAATAGCTGAGAGACTGAGACTTAGAGCACCTTTTGGTAAGAAAATAAATAAAGATGAACCACGACTGATCTCAGTATACATGTATTTAAGCAGTGCTGACACTGCAACAGAATAGGGGCCCTTAATGGAATAAGGGCGTTTGTAGAAATGAAGGTGCTTACGCAATGGGGGCGCTTATTAGGACAAGGATAATTATTAACAAAAGCCAAATTCGAGGGGAGCCCTTATTAGAGAAGGGGCGCTTACTTGAATGCGGGTGCTAAATAGACTCATCACAGTTTTACCGTCATTCATTTAATTATTTATATAACGTGTATCATCTCTCATATTCTAGTTAGGGTGTACCGCATAGTTCCTGGTATCTCGCCAGCCAATTACCCAATCCTTTTTTATCCTGAGTCCTATTGTTCTTCTCCATCAAGGAAACTCTTGCATTCTTCATTCTTTTTCCATTGTTTCTTCCATGGGCGAAGATAAAAAGAGGACAAGTGATCAGGAAATTGAATCGAAATGATTTTTGAGTAAATGAGAACTCAATCTACCTTTAAATTTGTTCGCGCTATGAACGCGCAATGTTGGTCCCAGTCCATTATGAAATACTTCTGTTGTGCGCCGAAAAAGCCAGCGGTGTATACTGAAGTCGCTAGTTGTCATAGAAACAATGAAAACTGTTAAAAAGTCAATATGGCGGTTGTTTTTGTGCATGCCTGGAGAGGTTAACAGCGATTAAAGACGTTAGAAAAAGCTTAAAATCTCAGAAAAGAGCCTTTTGAACAACAAAAGCCTTAAAAGATGGCCAATGAAGAAGATGCCGCAAGTATCAGACCGCCAGAACCGGTTACAATTGTCGTGGTTCGATGCAAAAATCTGGTAAGCGTACGTACATGTAAGCCTGTTTGTATTTCTTAACGAATCTCCAGTTCATTAAATTGTATTGAATGAAGAAATTTCTAAAAACCAAGAAATTTCCATTACGTAGACTTTTTAAGGGAAAATTTGTTTGCAAATGTGGTTATATTCTTTCATGTGTTCATTGATATCAATTGTTTCAGACGTCGGACATGTGTAAGCTTTGCAATTTAGGGGTCTTGGTTAAGTCGAGACACAACATAAAAACCCAACCAGCGTTTTGAAACTGAGTCTTGTATGCTTTCCAGCAGGACATCCTACAATTTCAACCTCTTTCAGTTTGGAAATAAAAAGAAAAAAAAAAGAGAAAAGTCGTCATCTTAAATTACAGGGTAAAACTACAAAATACAGGGCCGTGCACTTACAGTATTTACTTCTTATTGAATCACCATACATCATTTTGTGTTCTTCCTTGTTCTTCAAAGCATACCAAAAAGGTGGTCTGTATTGTGTAGTTGCCCTCATTACAAAAAAGGTCAAAAATTGATTTCTTAATTTTTCTTGAGAGGCCAGCAAAACCTAATAGTGGCACAAACATGTTTGGGAGACTTCTCGGAAAGGCTGATGATATTTGGAGATCAGATTCCATTTCCCACTCCTAGCTCTCCTTGACAATGAAACACCTCAGAAGGTTACAGTCATTGGCCCTGAACAGTGACAGAACCTTAGACTATTTGATCCAAAATCTGTGCAGCATCCATCTGCAAATTGTCTCTCCTCATTACCTATAACCATTTATATGATAAGCTTAACCCTTTAACTCCCAGATCAAATTTGTAATTCTCCTTACTGTCAACCATACATTCTTATGATGTTAGTTGGGAGAATTTAGTATTGGATCAACTTACCCCCAAATTGATATTTTTCTTTATTCTCATCACTTATCTGGTTGATATTGTATTGATATTGTAAGGAGATATTCTGTCTTGGTCACTCATGGGAGTTAAATGTTAATTATACATGCATTTGATTATTCTCATCACTTATCTGCCCTTTTCATCAAGGAAAACAAAAAGGTTCTAGCTATCTTGTTGTTGATCTGTGTAGTATTTGATCACAAATGATGTCAGAATGTGTAAGAATATCAATGACACACTCTGCCACATCTTGTGTGCCACTTTTCTGATCAATTAATGAACAGATGCATGGCAAAATGGTATTAATCTGTTTTTTAATTATTCAGCTTAAAAGTGTTTTTCTTCTCACTTTCTAGAAAGGGTCTAAAGGTGATTCCTTGAATTCCTTGGTGAGGCTTGAGTTTGGTGCTAATCTGCTTGGAGAATCTCCAAAAGTTGAAGCAAACACAGAGACCCATAGCACAGAATACAACTTTAATGCATCATTTGACTGTACATTTGAAGATGCTACTTTTCTGGACTCTATAGCATATAAGCCTGTGATAGGTAGGTATTGATTTTCTAGTTTGACTTTCATTAATTATACTGTACAGTGTACATGTACATAGCATCACTGACTGTCTTGTTCAAAACTTGAATTTCTTGAGTGGGAGTTTCTTCCTGTCTTCTAACAGGAGTGAATGCCCCCTCAAAAAATGCAATTTTTGCTTGTTACCCTTGAAAGCTACTCATGATGTGTGCAATTTTAAATATAATTGCAACTGTATGATGTTGTTTACATTTTTTTTGAGGATGGGTAAAGACATTATTAAAAAATTTACATCGGTATCATCATTAACCATTTACATCAGTATTCGTAAATTATTCTCCATTCTCTTTGACCCTTCCTCTGGCACTGACAAGGCAGTGCTTTCAATAAGATTTGAAGTAGGTGGCTACCTCAATAAGCACCTGCTGGAGAATGTATGTAAAACAATTTCCCTTTTGTCAGCCCATTAGTGCGATTTAGAATAAACTGACTTCAAACAGACTTTTCTGTGTTAAACTTCAGCAAATGATCATGAAGTATTAGCTTCCTTTGTAACAGTTGTTTAATTGATTGTTTTATTTCTACAGTTATCAAAATCTTCCATTTGCTGCCAATGTAAACTTGCTCCCTGAGTTTCACACAAAAGTCCTCTGAAAGGACAAATAGTTACTGGCTATTGCAATTTGAGTTAGGATTTTCATAAGTAACTGCCTTTGTCGTACTTCTACTTCATGTATGATGAATTTATGTGGCTAGAACACACAAAACAAGTGGATAAAGAAGACCAGCACTTAAAGAATGAATAAATCAAAGACCACAGAATTTCAAAAATAAATAAGTTGAATACTCCAATACCAAATTGTGTTATACATGTAATCTTTTACAGCATGTCATTTATTTATTTTTTTCTTGTTCTGTAATTTTGATTGGGACCCTGTGGAGTATACCCAACAATTCACAACAGAGTAGTCCTGCCAGAGTTCTGGCAGGTGCCGGGTCTTATTGAAAGCGCTGAAAACAAGAATTTGTCTAGCAATCAAAAGGCCTTGGGTTGCAATCCAATCATTTTCTTAACATGTAGATGCTGGTGACTTCTAGTTTATACAGGGTTAATACAGTTGCAAAATAATGAAATAAAAAGTCTCAATTGAAGGGAAGCTGGGAGGGTGCTATCAAAGCAATTGTGTGTGGGGGGAAGTCACTAGTTATTGAGACTGACCTGTTTTTAAAGTGCTGATATAAGTACATAGTCCTAAAATATCTTATAACTATAATTTTTGAATTTCAAAATAGATTTGTTTTTGTTTTTCAGTTACTGTTGTTGAGGTTCTTCCTAAAGACAAGAAGGGAAAGGAAGAAAAAATAAATATTTTGGGCCAATCCTGTATTGATTTGCTGCCACTTCTTCATGGTGAGGCACATAATACTTGTAGATACTTGTACACTTAAACCATGGTTATATTTCTGTTACACTGTTATCATTTTGGCATTGTAGATGCTGTAAAAAGTCATTTTAACAACATCATAATTATATAATTAGCAATTTGTACATATAGCCTTGTATTTTTATGAAGATCCTCATTTTGTAGGATTTAATCTTAAAAGAAAGGTACCTCTACCTGCACCTGCTGCATGATGGTTTTTCATGAAATTTATGCTTTCTCAAAAATAAGTAATTTTTTTTTCACTTGGGAATTTTTAAGAACACTTGAGAAGTGCGAAGAAGCAATTGCTTTTGGTTCCTTCTTCTTGGCACTTCTCTTGTGTTCTTAGAAATGATTTGCAGAATTTCATAATCAAATAAGACCAAAATTGCATGACACAAGGTTCAATTACCGCTTTATTATATCTATTTTGAAACTGCAAATTTCATTTATTCACATACAGGTTTTTTCAGTCTTTACAAATATTTTGTTGATCCAGTACTGAGCTAGTTTGTGAAAAGTTGCAAAAGTTGTCTTTCATTTTCCTGCAATTTGATTGGTTCCTTTAAACAAGTCTTGATATCTGATTGGTTGTTGTGTTTTAGTAAAGCTGTCTCATAAGCTTGCACTGATGAGAGCCAATCAGATTGCAAGGATCACACATGATTTCAAAATGAATGTAAAAGACTCAGAGTTGCTGTTATACATGTCCTTTTAACCATTTAAACCCTAACTTTTCCCTACAATGTCACCCCTGAATCACACATTGGGTCATGAGAATAAAGGAAACGATCACCAACAAGAGAAGCATTTGATTGGTAAACAAATTCTCCTTGTCAGCACCTTAGGAAATGTATAAAGAACAGTATGGAGAATATGCATACTGATGTTAGGATGTAAAGGGTTAAATAAACATTGATCTCATGCCACCAATTATGGATAACAGAATGTGTTGAATTTAAGAGATATTTCAATCTCTATTTGCATTTAGATTTAGCTATATTTATGTTTTTATATTAATAACTTTATAATACTGTATTTTCACATATGGTTAAAAGGAGAGACCAAATTCAGTGTTATCCAGTATGTCCATCCTGTCACTGTTCCAACTGAACCAGCCACAACTGAACATATTTTGGTAAGAAATATCCCATTTTTTATTTTTTTCCTTTTCTTTTCTTTCCTCAATAATGTTGTGCTTTCATATGGGACTTATACTGATTTCTTGATTTGATCTGTTATTTTTTGACTGTATATAAATGATTTTATTTCTACCAGTCTAATTGTTGTGATGAGGAAAGTCAGGAAATGATCAAATCTGAAATAAGCACATTGATACAGCCACATTATTCCACTAGCCGCTTCCCTGATTTCTTTGAGATGATTGGGTGTCAGTGGACTTCAACCATTTAAAGAAAGTTTTTCTTCTGTTTGTGACATATCATTTACTATACATAGTGAAACCAAGTCTATTAATTATACACACATACTATGAGGATTGTATACGCTTAACTGAAATAGATCCTTGTATTAGTGAAACTCTCCTAGTTATCATTTTTTAAGTAACAGTTAGTAACTGTATATTAACAAGTAATTAATTAATAATGATAATTTTATTATTATATTTTTATTATATTATATAACAGTAACTACTATTACTTATTAATGATTATTTATTGAGTTTTAAAATTTTTATGTTTGCTCATTCTCTCTTTTTTTTTAGCCTGAAATTGAAGTGCAAGTTTCTGTAGCACAACCTCTTCTTACAGAAACACAGCTCCATAACAGGTTTGAACAGGCTCTCAAATATTGATTACAAGACCAACTCTAAATCATTATAAGTATCAATAAATTTTGTTTTCAGAAGATATCAATGGCTGTAACTACATGCATGGGACAGAATGTTACCAGCACAATTGGTAACAATCTAGGAAGTACATGTATGTGCAGGCACATGTATGCAGTTTTCATGACAGTGTGGATGTGCTGCTGAATTCCCTTCCTTAATGCTACTGTTGCTCCCTGAAACAGGAAGCACTCCAGCATTCCTCCCCAAATATTCCACTCTATGGCTTTCAGTAACATTTTCGATATTTAAGCAGCTGTTGGTGGTACAGTCTGTGACTGTGGTGTAAGGCAAAATTCAAACAAAGGAGCAATACTCACTGCAAGGCTTAACAGACAGTGACAAGAGATGCAGTATTATAGGTGGCAATAGAGTGCTAGAAACCAGTTTTTATTGAAACTCCCTGCAAATCCCACCAAGCTTTTAAATTAGGCTGTCAAAAACATACGAGCAAACTTTTCATATCAACACTACCCTGCATCTGTGTGTATGAAATTCGTCTGCACAGTTAACATATATGCGAGCGGTTCTGTACCAAGATCCCATTAGTAATTCTCCTTACTTTCTGCCAAACATTTCTCATTATGTTAGTCTGGAGAATTTGGTATCAGATCAATTAGTAATCCCATAAGTGATATTTTGTTCTCATCACTTGTCTGCATGATATTGTATGGGTATAGTGAGGAGAAATTCTGTCTTGGTCACTCACAGGAGTTAAAGGGTAAATTGTATCTACAAATATTTTTCAATTTAACTTTTTGAAAATTAGTCATTATAGAGAATTCAAGCTATCTATTTTGAATAAGTTATCTTATCTTCCTTTTTTTCATTTTAATTTTGTTTTGATTAACAGCAATTTATTGAGTGTCCATCTGGACAGTGCATTCTCTGTACCAGACTCCTGGCAGATTCAGATGGCTCAGCAGTTTAACTACACTGCCAGCTTGCCTGTTCCAATATCCACTGAGGTAAGAAGTTCACATCTAAATGAATGCTAAGTTAAGTTTAACAAATGAGATTTATGTTTCTCCTCAAGAATCTGGGTTTATCATCAGTGATTACTTTGTATACCAAGGAGGGAAGAGCCAGCAATTGAATGCAAAGCTGATATATGTAGATACCCCCCCCTCCTCCCCAATAAAGAACAGTTTCACCAGAGGTACAGGGCGGAGGGAGGGGGGGCTGGGAGCATATCTCACAGAGTGGCTCATCAGTTGTAATGTACATGTATGTGCTACCAAAAGAACAAGACCTACTTTGAAAAAAACACTCGCAACTTCAAAGAAGTTTCGAAGATGATTGGTTCTTTGTGGCTAAAAGACCGCTCAGCGCTAATGCAATTTATCTTCTCTGGAGTGAATAATTACTTTTCTTAGTCTTCTGATGGTAAATGTAATCGTTTCTCACATGAAATGGTTAAAATCATATTATCTAGAAACTTAGTACTTTATTGAGGTAATTTGGTATTATCGAAAGTGACACTCGTTAACAACTTTTGCAATGTGCCTCTGTCTTCGTTGTATCTTTGAAACCTCGATTCATAATTGCTAGATAGTTTGTGTAGGTAAGAACATGATTTGGGTGCAATTTAGTGTTATGGGTACGAGTAAATTTTTGTAAAGGCGAAAAAATTGCACGAGCCCGTAGGGCTTGTAAAATTTGTAAAGTTTACAAGTGCTTATTTTCACCAAATTGCACGAAAAATCATGTTGTTACTTGTTAATAATTTACTTGAAAAAAGCTTCACAGAAAGTCAAAACGGACAAAATTTCGGCGATACGCGCGCGCTATTTGTAATTTGCACTCGACTAACAACTTTCCACTCGTAGTACGTAAAAAATGCAATCGTTTTCGGCCAATCAGTCATGCGCTTAATTTTCTCATGTATATTATTATTATTATTTATATTCCCTACGTTACAGAAAGAGAGTACAATAGTGTTATCCAACGGACTGCTTCGTGCACCAGGCGAAAAGGTTAGACTGTTACCACTTGTTCTGTCATATGAAACAAGCACGTCAACCCACTGACTCCTGAGAGTGACTAGTATCCAATTTCTTCCGAATCACACATTAAGGTCACGAAAATACAGAAATGATCACCATTGCAAGCAGCCCATGACTGTTAAACAAATTTCTCCTTATCAGCACCTTAGGAAATTTACGTGTATAGAGGACTATGTAGAATATTGCATACTGATGTTAGGGTGTAAAGCCCGCTGGTTAATACGCAGGGAATCTTCAGGTGTTTTGTTGACGGAGTGTGTTTTGCTTTGTTTCGTTTTTTTTTTTCTGCAGACTTGCTGAAGCTTTCTCTTTTTTTACATATTAATTTATTTTTTAACTTACCAGGAAACTACAAATCATCGGAAGTGGTCCGCTGCTCCGAGTGCCTCTGGCTCCTGTCTATACATTACTGACAGGTAATAACTGCAAGTGGTTAAAGTGCAATTTTCAATCGCGTTTCGATACTTATTGGGTTTTGCTTTGCCATGCTCTGTAGTTAGTGTACAAAAATGGTGCCACCCTCTCCACCAATCAGAAACAAAACTGAAGCCGATCAGTGCTTGGTCACGCGCGTTTTCCCTTGTTTTGTAGAATCTGCTTCACTTTGACTTTGAGTTGAACTTTGAGCTGTGATGACGCATGCTAAGATTTGAAGCAGCTTTGTCGTGATAATTTGGGTCAGACATGTATTTATCAGTTACTATTAACTTCAACTTTCCTCTATAGTAACATCGAAATTTTGCCGTTCGAGGACGAAGATGGTGATCTCAGAGATAGAGAAGATATCGGTTTTCGTCAGGAAGCTATGAATGAGAAAAATCACGTTACGTGGAACACAGAAAGACGCTGTTTCTTAAATGCAGAGGCCGCTGAAAGGTGAGATCGTCCTTCACAAGGGCGTTGTAAAAGAAAAGCTCTTCGTGACTTTGCCTCAAACCAAGTGAGCTTCTGTATTCCAGCAGTGCTGAGTTTCTTATGTATTCTATAATTGTACATGTAATAGCAATTCAGCCCCGCTGGAATATCGGGGGCTCATATGGGATGAAGCAATGTTACGTAGTTCTTTCCTCAGTAAAAGGAAGGGAAATGCTTCCCAGGTCTATGGGCGGATGCGACGCAGTACCACAGTTTCTTCAGAAACTTACCTCCTCTATTCATTTGTGTTGTTAGTTCATGAACACACGTTCACTTAATTTAGTGTACTCATTTATTTATCAATATATTCATTTTCTTAGACTTAATTTTTTTTATCTTCTAGTTTGCAGAACAAGATCGCGCAGAATCGTTACTGGCCCTTGGAAATAATGAGGACCCCAATACAACAAGCCACGAAGACAAAAGGAAAACAGGGCTCGTTAGAAGAAGATATTCCCATATCATTCCACGGAGTAGCTTATGTTAACATGGCGCCCTTACTCTACCCTGGGGTGAAAAGGTTTGTTTCTTCGCATTCCACTTCAGAGTCTCTTTTAAAGCAAGTTTCGTCTCACGAGCAGGGATTCTTGTCTTTGGATAAGCGAGTCGCATATGTGTGTCTCTAGAGAAACGAAACGCATTGATCGGATTCTTGCATTTAAGAGTCCTGTAATAAACTATAGTTAGTGGCAAAAGTATTTGGCACGCCTCTCCTTATAAGGAGACTTACCATAATAAACATAAGTCTAGTAATTCATCTGTAATAAGTCACTTGCAAGTCCTCCCTCCCCCTCCAAAAAAAAAAAATGTTGCCCGATGTATGTGACCACTATGCAGGGCGTGAAATTAACTTTTTTTTCTGATAGCCACTTGGCTCCTAAATTCTTCAAAGTGGTAGCCAATTCAAAAAAAGTTGGTCGCCATTTTCAAAGACAAACAAAATCTTTCTTTACGCTGTCAGCGTTCTAGATAGACCCTCCAAAATTAAGTTAGGGAAAAGATCTTTAACGTGCTACAAAGTGGACACTAGGATGGATGATAAACAACGTTCAGGCTCATCTAAATCCAAGATGGCGTCTAGTTATCGATCGAGATGCATGTGCTACGTTTTGGAAACAAACTTAACGAGGATGTTTGCCGCGGATTTATCTTTGCAAATCTTTTTAATTCACTATATCTCTTGGTAAGGTTATGATGAAACGTTCTAGTCGCCAATTTGGCGACTAACTTTCAGGATTTGGTCGCCAAAGTGAAAAATTTAGGCGCATTGGCGCCTGTATTAGGCGCAATTTCACGCCCTGCTATGTAGCACCAGGCAACAATGAAACGGGAGAGAGGGGGTGATAAATTAAAATTCATGGGAAAAACTAAAAATGAGTTAATTGTGCCAAGACTTTTGCCACTCACTGTACGTTTTACCTGTTAATGTTTCCATTGAGTTCGATGAGAGGGGATTCTGACACTTAGCATTCTTCCCCTCGTCGTTTTAGCGACTTGTAACGCGTTGTTTCTTCACCCAGAATAAGAGGAGCATACCTTGTGAAGCCCTTCATCGAGAATGAAGTGTTTGATAAAACCAAGCGCAAAGGTACACTGGCGGAAGAGGCTGCCAGAATAGCCAGCGGAATGAGCCGTACTCTCGCCTCAGCCATGGCGCAGAAGGCCCCTCCACCCTCCAAACAAGGCAAAGCGGATGCAAAAACAAAGGTACTATTACTGTTGTGTCTTTAGAGCACATTTCGATTGGGTGTTATAAAACTGAAATAACAGTAAATTGTATCAAAGATAAATGTCACAAATAACCAATGAGAACTAAAGCTGAAAACGTTTTCATCTGATTGGTGGAGAGGATGGTGCGAGTTTTGTAAATCAATCACAGAGCGAAGTAATGCAAAACCAATGCATTCCCGATTTACTTTTGACACTGAAATGAAATGAACCTCCCGAAGAAGAATCAGAACCTTAGCTAAACCGATGACTGTGGATGAAAATCTCCCAATTTCACACGTTATAACAGCAAAAAAAGTCAACAGCTTTTGTTAGGTAATGTTGGCAAGTTTCGTCTACTCAAGGATTGTTTCAACCCAGAAAATGTAATTTTGAACTTGGAAACATACAGGCAGTATATGCAGTTTGGCTGAAAATATTTGCCAAAACTGTTGTCAAACAACTCTTTGAATACGAACAGTAAGTTTGTCTTTTATTCCCGTAATTAGAGTTCTTGTAGCTGATATTTTTAGCGCGCAATATTTCGACCAATTACTTTCTAGGTCTGGGGATTGTCTTTCCTAACGACAAATTTTTGTCTCCGCTCGCCATTTTTGAGAATGTTTGGTCTACCACGCTCTAGATCTACGGGAATGGCTGCAAATTTACCCTTTTTGTCTGCAAACATCTCAACTAAGACTTGATGTTTCGTGAAATTGCCAAAAAACCGAAACTGAAGGGAAATTTACTTCATTTACGACTTCTTGAACTATTTAGCCATCAGGTGCTGTTCTCAAACCGGACGTTTTAGCAGAAGGAGAGGGTAACGAGGCTAAAAATCTTGAAGGACAGGTGAGGCTTGATGTGCAATAATGAGTGAACATTTATTTGTACAAGAAATGTCTGTCGATAAAGAAATGCAGAATTCAGGTGGAGTTTACCACAAACGTTAACCAAAAAGGTTACTAGGATTTCCCCTTTTTTCGGGTTCCAAGTCTGGGTTCCAAGAGGAACACGGACTTCTCAACCCTTCAGTTAATCCTTTAAATCCCAGATCAAATTTGTAGTTCTCCTTACTGTCAACCAAACAATTCTTATATTGCTAGTTCAGAGAATTTAAGATTGGATCAACTAATTATCTCCAAATTGATATTTTTCTTTATTCTCATCACTTATCTGGTTGATATTGTATTGATATTGTAAGGAGAAATTCTGTCTTGAATACAAATTGATATGAGAGTAAAAACAATAAAAACTTGCTTACGGCTCACAATAAATATCTACAGGACATCGCTATGTATGCTAGTGTGTAAGGTCAAGAACGGTCTTGGCGAAAGAATTCATTACCAGAAATGGATACATAGTTGAGTCTTTTTATTTACAGCAATATCTGGAGTCACGAACTTTTATCACCTTGGAATTTGTCCTCGACAAGCCGCTTGTTCCAAAACGGCCGCCGTCTTCGCTTGCAAGAAAGTAAGTTGGCGATACTGAATGATGCTAAATACGTTGCGTTGTGCCTCCTCGACTTAGACTTGCAGTTTGATATTTTCTGGCCTAATTAGTTAGCAATTTATCTGACCCTGTACATAACCGATAAGCAAAAATCTTTAAAACTCAAAATATCTTAGAACCAAACTAAATTGAAGACAATGAAGCCAGTCGACAAAACAAAACGAGCGTATAGAAAGTGACATGTAGACCATTACAAGAGAGAACTTTTAGTTGCAACGTAACTGTGGTTTCCTAACTCAATTTTGAGTTGTGACAAGAGCTCCCAGAAAGCCTCTCCACGCCTGAACGAGGTTGTGCGCGAGCGTACGTTAAAATCCTGTTGTGCGCGCTTATGACGTCAGCAAACAAAGGCCTCGCGAGCCAAAAATTTTCCTCCGCGTTTGACTGCAAACTTCCCGCTCAGCTTGTCCGCGAGTCTTGAGATTTTCAAAATTGTTTAGCCGTTCCATCCCGACTGGGATAGACCTATAAGAACTCATAATGAAGTGGAAAGGAAACGGACATTTAACCCTTCAAAGCGACGAAAAGAGCTTTCGAGTGAATAATACTACAATTCTCAAACGCGATACGAATGGCTGGAAAATGAAAACTGAATTTGCTGACATCATTGGGGCCTCGCCAGTTTTGCACCTCTCTTTGGCCCGATAAGTATTATCTTTAAGAGTTGATATGTCCTTGAAGTATTTTGCAACTTCATTTGTCTTAAATCTGAGAACTTTAAATCTGACAACTTTCAGAATTTTTAACACAACGCTACACAATTTCCTGGCCTTGAAGTCAGGTAAACAACGATTCAAGCATTGCGCGGGCCGCCTGTGTTCGAGGGATTTTAACCTTTTTTCGCCTCTTAATAGCAAATGTAGTATTTCTTTGAATAACGCTTTACTTCGAAACATTTCTTTGTCATTTTTGCCCTAATCAAGAAGCTAGAGCTGTCTCGGCTACGCCTCGAACAACACTTACGCCCCCTTTGTGCTCTCCAACCTTCCAGCATGCTTCATACCGCTGTAAACGCACGCTGGCGTATCAACCAGTTTTATTTACAATATTGTCAATTTCACTTGTACTTTGTTCATTTTTCCCCGCTTGTAGAGTTGCAGAATATATTCCTCCACGTCCAGTTTTTGCCCGGAAAACAGGAGGCTCCAAAAAGGTAGCATATCATGGAATGCATTTAGTTTTGCGAACACTGAAGTTGACAACGTTTTTTTTCCACTCCTTATGTGCCATTTTTAAGATTGTGTTTGTTTGAGAAAGTGGAAGAAGGGCAGCAAATTCAGAGATTTACTGGGATAAGGAACGCAGCGCACTGGGGAAATAAAATTTGTTACGTTTTGATTGCTTTATAATAATTTAATAGTTTTTTTTACATCGTAAACTTTGATTAACAAATTTGTAAAACTATCTGTTTTGTTACAGGCTGTGGAAGATTTCCACGGTCAGTTGACCACTGTTGCAAATTCCCTGCTCGAGGAATTCAGGTTTGTAACGTTCTGAGGAAAGCAGCAGTACTCTTTTTTGGTTCTCGATTATTTGATTCCTGTGCACGAATTTCGAATTTAATCTGCTATACGAAAAGTTACACAACCAAACCTTATAGGTATCTTGCCTTTTAACCAAGTCTCACAATAGAAAATGGTTTTTCGTTACAAACTCGGGAAGTTTAAAGTTGCTAATCAAGCACTATCTCATCGTCTTCGCTTATAGCCAATCAATCAACTTCCTAAAGACACCCAAAGCTTCGAATATGATGAGCAAATCAGATGATGAACGCGAAACTTTCGGCATCTTACACTTCTTACAATCATCTTACGACCAATTTTCTTCGGTAACATCTTGTGTTTCTTGTTGCAGGCAAATGTACGGCGATGATTTGTTGAAGGGAAGTCTACCGCAGTCAAATGATGCCATGGACCAGAGGTGCATATTTTTGCTTTCGCACGCAAAATAAGGAAGAAGGAAAAAGAGGCCTAATAATTAGCTCTGAAAATCTCTCATTCTAAGGTCTAAAAATGAAATCTTATTGTAATTGTTATAAATTATAACAGTCAGAAAGAGATTTTCCTCTCTTAAAAACTACATGTATTTTTAATCGGTGTGAGTTTGGAGAATTTGGTCGATGCACGTCTACCTTAGTTGAAGATTTTACCTTCGCCTTCCTCTCCTCTTAAAATTTTTGTTTCAGGCAGACTGGTCATGTTTAGCCTTGTTCTGATCGGCCGTTTTCAGGTTGCAAGTACTTCGGTTCTGCAACATCTATTTTAGGGCAATTCTCAATTGAGTGTTAGGAGTAGTCCGGAAATGCATTGGCTTTTATTTACTTCGACTGATGATTGGTCCGGAAAACTCGCGCTACTCTCTCGCCCAATCACTACTTGATCGCCCACGTTTTCCCGCGGTCATAATTTTGAACTAATGAAAGAAATAACGTTGGTTCTTTTTTTTGTAGGAGGCAGAAGTTTCTGTACGAACTAAATACATCCGGAAAATATTTCGCTTTTAAAGAACAGTTAAAGGTAGCACAAACGATATCGATTGTACAGTACATGCAATAAGTTGATTATACACTGCTTGATTTAGTCTTGGCATCTGTTTTGTTTTGTCTTTTGGTTATTTTTTCTAATATTGCCTTTTTCTTGAGGCTTATCCATCTAGTCATGTCTTGTTATAAGTAAAATGGTTGATGATGGCTCCAGTCGCAGCTGTTAACATAACTGTAGCTTGCCGTTTAATTAGAATACTTTGTTAAATCTGAAGTATTTATGGAAGAAGAAGTATGCACTAAAAACTGTATGAATTTTGCTTCCACCAAAAGAAAAAGGAAAGAAAACAAATTGCACACTCATTTACAATTTTCCGCGTCTTGCGATTCCAAAGAGTAACCTTTTTACTCGAAGATCGTCTACAAATAGGCAAGTTCATTGGTAGACTAAGTTAACATACGTTTCCCTTTGATTAACAGAATAGTGTCATAAAGATCGTGCGAGAGAAGTATTTAAACACCACAGCTTTTACAGACAAGGAAAAACTACAAGCATTCCTCAGCGAGTTGTATGTGTTTTTAATTGACCAGATGCACGTGGCTCTCAACAAGGTAATGTTTACATCATTTGTCAATGGAATGTTATACTCTATATTTTAGGCTAATAAACTGTTATAACAGAACATAGAATTGTGAAGTCTCTTACTCGAGCTGAGTGTTCCTCAGCACTTAAAACCGAGTTCCCAAGCCAATCATGTCTTAGCAAAGAACATCATGTTATGATCTTGGGTATCCAGAGCTCAAACCAGGAGGTTTCAATCTCTTGCTCAGTGCATCCACCACTAAGGTACCGCACCTTCGCATGCAACTTACCATGTTGCATGAGAATTTAGCGGGAGGTTTTGTGTGTGTGAGGTGTGAGTTGTCCAGTGGTCAGTGTGCTGGACTCTGGGTCCGACGGCCCGGGTTCAAGTCCTGGCTGGGGCATGACGTTGTGTCCTTAAGCAAGACGCTTCACTCACATTGCTTCGTCTTCTCGGATAGGACGTAAAACCGTAGGCCCCGTCTCCTGCAGGGTTGGGGTAGGAGACGTTAATTTCCCACGCACGAGATTACTGTGTGGTGGATGTCCTCCCCTGGGGTGGGATGGGTGGAAGAGAAATGAATGAATGAATGAATGAATGAATTGTAAAGCGCTATTGAATAGCAATAGAAATAGCGCTCTATAAATACTGTATTAGGTTTTATTTTGTGGATTAGCGACTTTTTGCGGTTTGAGAGGTCTGAAAGTTTTGTTGGTGGACTAATTTTTGCGATTTTCAATTCAAGCTACAACAAATTTGAAGGAAAGAAAACGCAGTATTTAAACTTTTACTACTTTTTGAGTTACAATGCACTCTAAAGACATGTCAAAGAACTTACTCAATGCCAGAATTAAACAAAAAAATTCCCTTCCCCAATCCCCGACATGAACAGCAAGAGGGTGTTTCAATACTGCGTCATGTAACCAAAAATATATCCCTGTTTATACCGAGCTGGTATCACAAGTTTATTGATAGGTTTATAAATGTGTCATACCCTAATGGTATATGCGTTTATTTTGTGTAGTCTGAGACTGTTCCAGTCATCTTACATCGTTTCCTTGTTTCAATTTGTAGTTCCTCACAGCAGAAGAAGCCCCAGAGGAACCACCGCCCGTCACGGACTCCGCCACTCTGAAACACTTCGCGAGAGAGGCTGAGGTACGCTGAAACTCTGAAGTGTGGTGTGATAGTTTATCATGTCACGCTGTATTCGAAAAATAACCTGTTTTGTCTGTTTTGTTTCAATGTGCTTCCTAAGATGTCATTATTGACGAATGCTTCTCTTCTTATCAAAAGGTGAACCAGAACTTTGAACTAGCAGCGAAATATTATCAAGAGGTAATAAAAATCTAAAATAGACAATTTAAAGATTTTATTCATTTACTAGCATTCCAGCAGTATAACAGAGAAGCGAGTAGATCTGCCCAGATGTAACCGCTGGATACCCGCTTCTAACCTTTCCACAAATGGCACTGTGCCCTAATAGGCCATTTCCGAATTACATTTGGCCTCATTTTCAAAGCGAGTACTGGTGCTCATTCCTTTATCTGATCATAAGTTTGCATTCACATGCAAATTAAACTCGTTTCCAGACGAGTGGTTGAGCACCAGGCCTCGTTTTGAGAAATAGGCAAAAGGTAATTAAGAAATAGCCCATTCACATGTAATCCTGTACGGATTTGTTCAAATTGGTTAACTCCGGGAAACAACAGAACGACTTTAATTGTGTAAACCTCAAAATGCTGAAACATTCAAAAGCAAAAGTTTTGATCTCCAAAGTTTCTCACCGGAGCCTGGACCTGCGCGGAGTGGAAAAAGAGGCTCTCCAGGTGTTCAAACCTCCTTGCCCGCCTGCTCACTATTCTGAATTGCTCATTTGTTTAATGTGTTCCCGAAAGCATTGCTTATTTAACTTTTTTTCCTCTTTTATCAGCGTTTGTCTCGTAACAAGAATGATCCTGATCACTGGTTTGATTATGGAGCGTTTTGCTTGCTCATTGGCGACTTTGGGAAGGTACGAATTCTAACAATGGTTATATTCGCGCGTCAAGTTTTGTCATGGCTCTTGAATCATGAAGAATCGAGGCCTTTTCCAGAAACAAGAAAATCCTGAAGCTGAGAAAAAAAATCATACAAAGAATTTTCCGAGACCGTCATCAAAAACTGTTGAATGGGATTTCCTATAACATTAGCATAATAAGATCGATGGCTGCAAACTTCAATCATTCAAACTTCAATCGTTTGGTCAACACGTGTGTTAGAATCATACGACTGGAAAGAGGGAAAGTTGGTTTTTCCAACGTTTTGGATATAATCAGTCAGACCCCTGGAAAATTGTCTGCAAATATTGCAAAGGAATTACTATTGTGATGTGTCTTTTTCTGTAGGCTGAGGAGTGTTTCAAGGAGACAGTAGCTATTGCGCAGAAACACGTACCAGGGTGAGTCGGATATCATTTTTCTTTACTGACCCTGAGTGTGCCAGGGATGTTTAGCCGCCCCAGTCCTCTCTCGACTGATCTAGCTTTATCTCTACAGTCTTCTGATGCATGGCTGCATGTCTCTGATGAATGAGAAGTACGAAGAAGCCGAGACTTTCCTTGAAGCGGCAACATGTGCTGAGAGCAAGAACGTCATTGCATGGACCATGCTGGGTAAATATGTCATTATTTTAAGGAGCTCTCTTGTAAACTTTAAATCATTTGAGAAAAGGAAAGAATTGTCTTTCTGTAAGCTAGAATAAAAGCGAAAAAAGGCAAAATTAAAGACCAGCAGGTACTTACTAGTTTGACATTTTTGCACGACAGCGAGACTGTATCTTCATTCATGTTACAGGTTTGTACTATGACAGCATTCAAAACGACATCGGAGCTGAGCGTGCGTTTCTAGAAGCCAACCGCTTAAATGCGGCAACGTCGTCTTCTTCTGAACTGATAGCCCCAGTAGATGGACCGGCCGAGGTTGAAGATTCTGTTTCGGAGACTATTGCCGACGAACCTGCTGGAGAAGGGGCTCCTGGAACTGCTGTGTCTGAGGACCAGAAACTGCCTGAGGTCCATGGTATGTTTGAGGGTCTTTTTTTTTTGTTGTTGTTTGTTTGCTATTGCTCCTTTTTTTGTTTTATTATGCTTTGCATTTTTCCTTTGCTTTATTTAAGAAATAGAGCATTCAATCGCGAAATATCTAGTATTGCGTAGACTTAGCGTAAAGATAAAAAACGTAAACCATGGTTAAGAAGCGACAAATGCTTTATCTCATAAGACAGCAAAATCCTAGAACTCTCAACAGCTCGAATAGCCTAGGGAAGGTTTTTCAAAACAAAATCGATCATTAAACAAGATGATAAACAGCCTCCACTGGCCAGAATTTTGGTCTAGTAAACGACAAACTTGCAGACTGTTTTTCACCTCTAGCATCTAAATATCTAAATCTAACATTCGATTAACTATTGTCCACGGCTCTCTCCAAGGTCAACGTCAAGAACACACAAGCAACGCCGTATCACCAAATATATGGCGGTCTAAACTTCTCTCTCACTCGGCAATAACATGCGGGAAGAATAGGCCAGCGGTTAATAGGTTGCACATGCGTAAGGGAATGAATATCGGTTGGTTTGAACTTAGGTCTGTAACTCACGGAATACAACTTGGATCTGAAAGCCTAAAAATACGCCCTCGCTTTTACGATGTCCGCACACGCAGGCGTTTGAGCTCTCTGTTGACCTATTACTTCTTCCTGCTTGTCATTGTCACGTGAACAAGAAGTATAAATATCGTTACCTCCTTTTTTGAAGTGATTCGGCGATGTGCATAATGATAGGCCCGCAATGCGTGAATGCTAGCTTCAGGAAGGTATAAGAATAGAACAAGTGGCAACAACTGTCTAAGAAGAGACAAGCGGCAACAACTTTTTTCCAACAGTGACCGAAATTAAAAATTTATCAGCTTACTACACGGAATGTGAAAAGTGTATATAAAAGGAAAGTTATATTTGTTTTTCTTTAGTTGATGATGTACTACGTGAGGAGCCTGGGTCAGCGAGTGGAGAAACCACCGCCCAACCTTCCGCCCCGCCAACTGCAGCCCTTCCCCCATCTGTAGTGATCAGTTCTGCAACGCCTGTTGGGAAGCTTGGAGTGAAACCTCAGACCCAGTCTACGACACAAATGACATCCAAACAGAGTTCGCGTGTTCCAAGTCCTGCCGGCTCAAACCGCCAATCACCTCCTCCGACGGAAACTGACCCTGTAGCGCCTGCAGAGGAGAAGTCAGCGGAGGTCAAGCCGAATGATAGTATTTTCTTACAAGTTGCTGATTTCTTGCTGGAAGTAAATGCTCTACAGGTAGTGTTTTGGTGGTTTTTCTAAGCGGTAGTGATAATGTGTTTGTGTTGCTGTTGTCAAATGTTTGCTCTACAACCCGGTCTGAAATGTTGGACACACTGGTCACCAACGGGACTGAGAATTAATTGTTCCTCACTATAATTCTAATGCTGGTCGCCTGCAGGCAACTTTTTTGAACTCTTGTGAATGTTCTTCTCGTAAATCAGCAATCAACACTCAAGAAGGAAACAAATGTTATCTTTTGCTGCGGTCATCTGATTTTAGCAGGTGATCGTTCACGCGTTGTAATGTGTTTTATGTAATGAAACGTCTCTAGTTTTTCTTTTTTTCAGTTCGAAGTGAACCAAAAAAAAGAAGATAAGAATCAGAATTTATTGGCGACGAAAATGATTATTCCCTTTGGCGATTAAAGCTAAATTTGTCTAAATTCCTTTAGGTGCTCGTATAGATAAAGCTAACTTCGGACTATGGACATGTAGCCTTGTTACCTAACACACCAAATATAGCGACCTTTTTTATCGCGGTTTTCTTTCGATCCCACTCTCGGTATTTTGTTGGTTGGAATTTAAAATCCTTTCGTAATAGAAGCAGTAGGCTCGTGAATAGTGAAGTTCTACGCTTATGCCCTGGCTGGGACCAACACACTGGGGAAAAACACACTGTTAGTCTCTTTACTCAACCACTCCCCGTTGTTTCAATCAACGTTTGTATTTTTGTTACTGGGTACCAGCTTACGGACGCGGCATTGGCGCACGAGTTGGTGGCAGCCAACGGAGAGCCTGGAGCGAGATACTATGTGCTTCTTGGGAGGCTGAAGATACAACAGAAATCTTTCATCGGGGCTGAGGAGAATCTTAAACAAGCTGTCATGTTGAAGCATCAGGTGATTTGCGTTAGAGGCTTTGTTGGAGTTAGTTTCAATACATTTGTGTGATTTGCTTTTAGTTTCCAACTTTAGTAGAACAACAGCATATGTGTTCTCTTCTCTTAGATTTTATCCCTGGAATTTTTCGAGCAATCTTTGAGAGTTTGATCTTGTTAACTTTTCGAGTTTGCATCCCCCATTTGTCTCCCTCGCCGCAGCCGTCTTGCAATAAGTCAAACTGAAAAAAAAACAAAACAAAAAAACAAAAGCAAAAACGAAAACAAAAAAAGCGTCGGGTAACTTTTGTAAAAAAATTCTAACGGCTGCGAAATAGACTATTGATGTTTTAGCCCATTGAGCTGAAAACTTCCTGCTTTACAGAAAGATTTACTATAAGCACGAAAAATGTAAACGTGCCTGCGACTTAGAAACTGCAATGCGGACAGTGTGCGAAAATGAAAACCCTCTGGAATAGGGAGGCATGTTGTCTTATTGAGTGTGATTGAAATGTACGCAGTGCCAAACGCTGAAGTTTGTCTCTTTATTCGATATCAGAACCCAGATGCTTGGGGCTTGATGGGACACCTCTATTATTTGACAAGCCGCACTGAGGAAGCTCAGGACTGCTACGAGAGAACACTGGCCTATACAACCGAAGCCTCAGACATGCACGCCATCTATTTGAGACTTGCCTCGATTTACTTGGAGAAAGGAGAGGTTGGTGCAACGTTATACTATCTAAGTTTTTGGTTGAAAAGCTTTTGATTCATCGCTTGTATCCCATTCTATTGTCCACTTACTATGGTTGGTATCTTGAAGTTTTCACTATTGACGTTTGACCTTTTGACCTTCTATGTTTGATGTTTGACGTTTGACATTTGACGTTAACGTCTGACGTTTGGAGTTCGACGTTTAATATTTGACGTTCAACTTTGACGTGTAACTTTTAACATTTTGACGTGTGACACTTCATGGTTGACATCTGATGTTTGACTGGGACGTTAAAATTTTGACATTTTACCCTGTTGGTTGTCTCCTCTCTTCAAATTCAGTTTGATAAAGCGAAGACAACCTTCTTGAAAGCCTGCATTCGCTCGCCTTCCTGTGTTTCGTGGCTTGGAGTTGGAATTGCGTGTTACAGGGTAAATACTGTAAATAACTTTACTGAGATACTACTCTGTGTTTATTAAAAATTCCCCTTTACTCTTCTGCACCCGCGCATGTATCATTTTGCACAAGTTATTAAATTGACTTACTACGAGAAAAGGTTTTATTGGTATTACACGATCGTAGAAGAGATTAAGCTTGAATCTTTGAATGACTTGCTTTGCAAAACTTAAACGTCAAGCGTTCTTTGCCCACAAGGAATGAAACAAATTATTGCGATGTTATAAATATACCATACTTTGTCATATTACTTTCATTCGGATTTGCGACTGCCGTACACCACGTAGACTGTATGTGTTAATCACTGACTTTTGGGACCGTGGCCAGAATTTGACGTTGCGAATTGGCGTTGGAATTAGTGCTTAGATCGAAATCATTTTACTAGTTTTATAGAACAAAGGGACCTTTGAAGCTATGAAATAAATCAAGTGGATGTTAAGTTTTTAGCTTCGTCAAATCTCTACAATTTTATCCTGACTTCCACTCTTGATTTATTTTAGCTGGAAGATTTGGCCGAAGCCGAAGACGCTCTTTCTGAAGCAAATATATTAAACAACAAAGACGCCGAAGTATGGGCTTATCTGTCCTTGGTGTGTTTACAGGTAACTTTAAATCAAATTCATATTTCTGTAAGATTTTAGGATTTGCAAAAGTAGAACGACTCTTTTTTTCTCGTTTTCCTTCCAGTTCTTCCGAGCGTAGTCTAAAGGCAAGCTAAGTTATTGTGTAATCCTTTGTTCGAGCTAGACGTAGACCCTTGCGGAAGAGTGAATACTTTATCCTGCTTAACATTATTCAGTAACACTATTGTGTCGTCTAGTTTTCTGGCGCTAGTTTACTGGCCTGTTTCTATACGTTTGTACTCCACTTTAGATCGCTTAAGAGCCTTGCAAGCATTTTGGTTTAGGCGAATCTTATCCCCTTTCTATATTTATCCCCTTTCTATATTTTCTTGTAGACCGGTCGACAGCTGGAAGCCGAGCAGTCGTACAAGTACGCTCTGAAGGTAAGGGGCAATTTATCAACCGTCTTGCCGTTGCGTAATCTGAAAGAAAGCTTCTTGGATTAGGCTAGTTCAGGCTGATAAGCCTCCTTCTCTTTAAAGACCCCTTTTTTAAATGTTTGCTTCCTTTTTAAAAACCACCTCATTTAACTCCCCTCCCACTCTTGAAGAAGCCTTTTTTCTGGAAATCCTGGACATCAACGCCTACTGACAATTTAATCCCCACAAGTATCTAATTTCTCCCACAGTATCACCCGTGTATGAAACATTTAGGTCATAAAAACAAAAGGAATGGGCACCGAGCTAAGCAGAATATGCTTACTGACGTTACGGTGGAAAGGATTAGCCTCGAGACCTGACAAACGAGGTTGAACAATTTCGTAGGATTTTAATGTATTTTGTACAACTTTACAGCTTCGACATCAATCCTCCATCTAGAGCTAAATGATTCCCTAAGTTAGGGAGAAAATATGTAAGATTGATTTTTCTTCTTGATCTATTTGCAGTTAAATCTACAAGACAAAAACCTGCTAGAAGAAATTCATCAATTGCAACAAAAAGTCGGCTTTGGAAATCCGATGGTGGCCTAGAATTTTTTTCAGTGCAGTTAGTTTGTTCCATTTTCTGTACCATTGACATCTCCATCGAATGTTCTTTTCAAAAAAAATAGTGGAATGCGCATAGCTTGTTGTTTTTATGTACACACTTCCTTGTTTTGTTTGGCCTTTATTTATTTGTTTGTTTTTATGATTATTGTAAAATGGAGCGAGAGATGTTATGATTTGTAATCTCTCTTTTTCCAGAGTAAGTGGTTTGTACAGTTAACTCTGCGCTCTTTGCGCCATTCTAAACGGTAACTTTTTAAAGTCGTGCATGTGTCCTCCCAGCCTCGTGCATGTGTGGTGCATTTTAAGGGATGTCATTTATTAATATCGTGTTAGATCTCAAATCTCGACTTGAAAGTGGTGTAAAAATCCGTCTGAAACGTCTTCAAAATATGAATGTATGTGCTCAGTTCCATTTTATTTTTGTATGAAGATTTACTTCAAAACTAGAATTCTGAGTGAGGATTTTGAAGGCAGTTTATTCTCTATAGGCGTTTATAACATAGCGCGTAAATTTGTCTAATCAAATTCAATTGCCCGAGCGTGCTTCATATTCCTATTGTGCACGCTCATGACGTCAGCAAACAAATCCCTCGCGAAAAAAAATTTTCCATTGGGTTAAAAATGTTATAAAACAATTGGTTCATACATCAGCTGTGCGATCATCGAGATATGAAGCACTTGGGAAGTTTGGAGAGCACTCAAGAAGCTAGAGTTGCTCTCGGCTACACCTCGAGCGACTCTTACGCATCTTTCGTGCTCTCCAAACTTTCCGCGTGCTTCATATCTCGATGAACGCACGCTGACGTATGAACCAACTGTTAATTAACGCGAAAGGATAGTGGAAGTATTTACATCAGAGATACCAGTTCGCCACCGTGAAAATTAAGTAATCGCTGGTGACGATGGAAATCTTGATTGAACTGAAGTACAGTTTCAGGGCAAAAAGCTTCCTTCTCCAAAGAGTGAATTTAAAACATAAAATCCTCCATTCAGTCAAGAATACGGCTTATGCTGAATTCTAAGATTCTGAACACTGCACCGCCACATCATATTGTCTTTTCTCAGCCGCCTTTCATCTTTAAGGCATAGGAGGTTGTTGGAGGGAAAAGAAAATCGACACTAATGCAATCCAATTTGAAAGCCTTCTAAGCCACTCCTTAATTGATGATGTAGCACAACAATTAATCCCTTGTTAAAGAAAGAGTCTTTCAATAGAAAGTTTCCAGAAAAAAAGCATCCTGATGACACCTATTGTAGTCTCACGTGAGTAACTTTGAGACGCGGTTTAGAGGAACAGCATCGGTTGTTTGACGCCAGCTCGGCTCATTAGGTTCATAATTAAAACATTGTAACATTATGGTATACAAACATGCACTTACGCCAAATAACTTTGAGCTTGCACAATGACACATTCGATCTGTCATACGCTTAAATTAAGGCAATAACTGACAAAAGATAATCGAGTGAAACCACCCGTTACTAAGATACCTAAAAGTTTTTACTTTGAAAATCATGTACTTTTTCTTCCATCCAATGTATTTCTTTACTTCACCTTTACACCACACTACTATTAGCTTCCACAAACACATCCGGTGTAACAATGGATGGTAATTTGATCCACTCCGCACTGATTCACGAGAGGGCTTTGGCTCTTTCTAGAATTTTTACATTCACGCAAATTATTCTATCAATAGTATAACTACAGAACAGTTTAAAATAAAATTTGCTCTGAGCAAACTTACAACCTTAACGATATAATTGTCTCATTCTGAACTTTATGATGAAAATAAAGAACAGAATTTGGCTGAGAGACAGTCGATATTTGCTGGTCTAATGATCTCACTGTTATTTTATATACAGAACGCAATTTGTTTCATAGAACCAATTGAACTTCCACAATCTTAAACACTCCGAAGGTACCCGGGCATTTGGTGAAATAAGGGTAAAGCTTAATAAGGCTCACGGATAAAGTTATAAACAGATCATCTTGAATTTCCACTGAATGATTCAAGGAAGACACGCCTCGTTTCATTTTCAATTGCAAAACATAGGCATTGGAATTTTAAAGAAGTTCTACCCTGATTTGTGCACAATTTCATTTTAGGGTTAAATTTTGATGAACTCTTCAGAAACGAGACTCAATATCTTTTTTTTTTTTTTATTTTGTTTGCTACTGGAGCTTGATTGAAATAGAAATAACTGCTTTAACGCGGAGCAGAAGTCCCAATGTCAAGTACATAGAATATCACAGAGCACTTGTTTACAACTTTGGAAGAAAGAGCAAAGCGTCGTTCGGAAGTAATTATCACAGACACCATAACACAAAGGGAAGTATTGAAAAAGTAAGAGAAAACAGGCAAAACAGACCAATTAAGAATTCCAACACAAAGAACCTTTGAATAAATCCATTATTTTACATGGGAAAATAATTTATTTTCAAACTCCTTAAAAGTTCTGCAAATATCTTCACTATTTGACAAACTGACTGGTCGGGTTTAATTGGTAGTCGGGATTAATCATTAAAGTGCCAAATTTTAATTCATTCACTTGGCGTCGATTCAAATTGCCGGAAACTTTGTGATCACAGTGTATATCTCAAAAGTTTAAAACGAAGGTTCAGAAGTCTTCTTGTTTGAAAGCTTGGTAGTTTGTTGGATAAATCTTCCTTCTCCGGCGGGAAAACAAAATAATGATCAATACTCGGGCAATATAATTTGAAAATGAGCAGTACGCCTCGTGAATGATATGACATAAATACCTGTCAGAGGGAAAAACCACTCAGTGGAAAAATAACGAAAAAAAAAAGCACAGTTTGACTTATAGTAGTCTCACGCCAGTAACTTTGTGACGCGGCTCTTGAAAACTGCGTCGGCATTTTGTGTTCACAAACAGAAAAATAACTGACGCCGTGCATGTTTCAGATTTTATAAAAATTTATTTGACACAAACTAAAGAATGCTGATTTGATTAAATTAGCCTTATATCCTAACATTTGCATCGAAATTCCTGTCCTGTTTCTATTGGCCAGTGGACTTCATTACTTGATATGTGCACATTTGGTACTCTCAGACTTTTCATTACATATTAATGTGATCCACATGGGATTAGTTTATGGAGGGAATGGGGAGGTATAGTCTTCACATTAGAGTCTCGGCTTCGGAAAGAAATGGAAATGAGGTTTTTTTGTTTCCATTCATTGAAATTGCAAAATGGATTACAGCAGGGGCTCGCTTATCTATCTTCCGCAGCTGGACTTTGACGATCCAGAAAAATTAAAGCCCTGTAAATTTTATAACTAGGTCATGCATCCCACTGAATTCCACTTTTTTACAGTTGATCATTCATAGTCGTTAATTATTGGCAGCTTTGACAACATTACACAATGAAAAGATTCTTAAGTTGCTTAATATAAGTTTCACTTGGTTAACCCTTTTATTGCAACTGTAACCAACAATAAATTTGCAAAGCGAGACACGTATCAATATATTGCCTGTTAAAAATATGAAACAAATATTGATGGAAAACGCGAGTCTGTTACGCAATCAGCCCTTGTCGAAAATATATTTACAAAACCTCCGATCATTTCGTACAAAAAGGGAAAATCCCTTAAAGACGTGTTGCAAAATCATAATTTGAAGGCGATAATGCGACGCGACCACAAAAGCCACATGGGGAGTCCTTGCCGGTCTGTCTTTACCTTTATTCTCATGTTAATACACATTTGATATAAAATCCTCGAAATGAATGGAATATAGTTTGGACTTAGCTTCCAAAGTCTCAAACTCACTGAAATAAGTTGACTTGAACTTAGATAAAAACGTTGATAACATGTTGTGTAGAACTTTCAAATAGTTTAAAATAGACAGACACTGTTCCCTTTCATTCCAATGATAATAATAATAAAAAAAATTAATGGATGGCCGGGGGGGGTGCTTACACTGGTATCTGTGTTCAGTTCGAGGTTGAAGTTTGAATTTCACAACAATGAGACCATGCACTTTCATTCTCTTCAAAATCGTGGACTTAACTGGTAGAGGCATTTCTCACAACCAAGGGAGCTGCAAATGGAACATTCTTTTGGACTGATTATGTCAGCAGACACTTAGAATGCATCTAGGCTGTCAATTTCAACAGACGCATTCATTGGAGCAGTTGACAGGTGTTGTAAAAGGACGCCCCGTGAAAACACTGACAAACAAAGAAAGACACTCAAGTACTCAAGCAAACAATGAACTTTAAGCCTCTTTGATCAGATTGATAACCATCTTATAGCTTCGCACATATCTTCAGTGCACCAGAAACTCATTGCATCTCGTACAGTGTGGTTCATTTGACGTACAGTTATTTATAAAATCTTGTGCGACTGCAAACTCGAGCGAAAGTAAGAGAGGCAGTTATTATTTGTTCTTCTCTCGTTTTCCAGTCGCTTTTGCTTTATATCAATACATTGTTTTTTACTCATTGGTTTTTGTCTTTCAGGCAATCATGGCTGCTTTGTTTCGTTTGTGTTTGATCTTGGTTTTGTTGGGAGCTGTTCAAGTACTGGGTGCACGGCGTGGCCAAAGTCACAGACATATGAGCCGTCTGCATTCTTATTTCAAGCGTCAGTATGGTGAGCTTTTTGCTATTAATCAAGTGAAGGCAAAGATTTGTATAAGATTAAGGGTTTAAGACATAAGGACCTCTTCCTATTTTTGCTTTCAGACGTCATCTGTGGCAGGATTCCCGGCAGCGGAACATGTGTAAAATACACTGAGCCTTGCCCTCCCTTCTCCGATGAAGAATGTAGAGATCACCTATGTCCATTTGGCTCAGGAAAGCGCTGCTGCTGCCCTGGTGCAGGGTAAGTATATAATGATTTGTATACCTGTTGGACAGTTTTATATATGATCCTGACTGTAAAGTTTCGTATCACTTCGCTTATATTCTTACATACACTGAAGGTTCCCTTCGCATTTTCAACGTATCAGCGATGTGATTATTTCTGAAGAAAATATACACATGTGTGTGTTTTTTTAATCGTCTCTCTAAATAACACTTTTTTCCATTTTTTCAGCAAATGATAAACCTTTTTGATGATGAGAATGTTGCCTGGTTGGCTTTCCAACCGTAGCGACAAAATAACGAGTAGCAACAATAAATGGAGATGAATTGAAGCTGGACAGAGCGGAATCTCTTCTTAGAATGCGGTCACTTTTAAATTGTCTTAAAGGGAAAGAGCTTTTCCACAACTAGTGATAAAAAATAAAAGCATTTTTATTGCATATGAATGCTTGTCTGTCATCTTTTCTTTCATTAAAACTACTCCAAATATAACTCTTGCCGACGCAACGTAAATTATTTGTCTGTTGGAAGCGAAACGCATGTTCAAATATCCCTTTGATAAATTGAATGCTATCAGTTTAGTGGGCTATTGAAAAGATACATTTTTGCATTTTAATCAGGCCCTGGTTGTTCGAAGGATGGAACACGCTCTCCACTGAATAAATCTCAATGTGATAGATAACGTAACTTGATGTTTTGATGACATTTATGCACTAAGTAACGGTTTCTCCGTTTCGTAGCCGAACTTACACACGTGCATAAATGCGTACTTCCTTAAAGCAAGATATGCAAATATTTATAGTGCTGATAAATCATATGTGACTCATGAGCTGTCTTTCGAGAAATACGTGGTGTTTTGGCCGTTGTTTTGAATTGATGTTTTCAAAGAAATGAGACCTTTTATCATTCAAAATCCAATTCAAACTGACTTATTATGGATTGTAAATATTCCGAAACAAAATCTTCAAATTAGTTTCAAAATTGCATTTTAATGACAAGTCACCGAAATTCAGTTTTCAACTTTAGCTCAAATGTGTCACAAAGGTTATGATTAGTACATGTTACTGATAAGAACACACGATGAACACCCAACAAATGATTGAGTGGATGAGACCTGAATCAATCTAGGCTAGTCTTTGGTTCTTTGAGCATCTCAAATGCACTGAACTTAACGGACAAGAACTTAAAATAACGGAATGTGGATGCATGTAGTGTATGCTATGAAATAATGTACACAACTTTCAAATAACGCAGTCTAAGAACACTCATTATATTTCCTTTTTTCGGATAAATGCAAGGACATTTTATGAAATTATTAGCTCACTTTTGAGACTAGACTTTAATGAAACTGCATTTTAAAATTATGCAACTCTGTTCTTTAGCGAATATGCTCTCAAAGGATCTTTCGAATTAACTCTTCCATGGAAAAGACGATGCGAGTGCAACTCATAGTTTTGTGTGGGAAGTAAACTTACAGTTTCGACACTCATTAAACACGATACGGGATACTCAGATCAAAACTCGAAAGTCTCGGCAGCTACTAATATTAACAGCCCCGAAACCAATGCAAACTGTGCAGTTCCTTTGGGCATGGAAGGAAAAAAAGCCTCTTGAATAGGTCACAATATTTCTATTTTTTTTTCGATCCCCAAGGGTTCAATTCATTAACGGGTCTTAGATTACAATTTCGGTGTCGCCAAAGTTAAAGATGTATTTGTTTTGTCTCAAGCATTCTAAAAGAGTAGGGTGAGAAAATAGCGAGAATGTACTCAAATACGGAACACAAAGTAAATTGCATCGGAAAGATCGGAAATGGCGCGTTTTAACTTCAAAGACAACCTAATTGAAATCTTTAATAAAGTTGGCGAAAGTACAAATTGTCCTCAATAATATTAATTGGGAATTTTCTATTGTTAGTTTCTTTGCATTTTCTCATGCTTTGAATGGATAGGATCGATTTCAGTAAGAAAAATCTTCAGTGGAAAAACTGTTACCGTCGCAGACTTAATTTCACTCTGTTTAGAAGCGTTTGGGTGAGATAACCATAAATATCTTTTGACGGAAGTCACTCGCAAGAAAAAAAAATTGGAGGGTCTTATTTGAAGAAACACCCGCTTCGCAGCAATAGCTGTTGACTTAAAATTGCCATAAATAAACAGTTAACATTGAAAAGTCAGCTAGTGTTTGATAATCCTACGAGTACATCTGAAGGCTGAAATAACAAACATTTCGAAAGGAAAACGAAAGAAGAACTGATTCCTTTGAATCCTTCAGTTTACAGTGCACTTCCTTACGATGAACAACACCTCGTCTCCTTACTTAATCTTCATCAATGCGGAAATTAAGAATGGATTTACAAATTGCACTAAGAGCAATGCAACGGTTTCCCTTCCTATCATAAATATTGCAAATCAAGCTGTGGCTCAAGAACCGCTAATTTCAACGGTTTTCAAAGTTCTGGCCTTGGTGATTGTCATAATACTTTCGCTTGTCGGGAATTTTCTCACAATCGGCTCAATTTACCAAAACGTGAACAAGCGGATGCGAACTCTGAGTAACTACCTGATTGTCAATCTCAGCATTGCTGATCTGCTTATTACTATATGTAATATGCCTCGAATGATACTTATTCTCCTGGTGGGTTTTGAGTGGCGCATCGGGGGCAACTTTGGACTTCTCCTCTGCAAAATAACCAGCACTGTTCCTTCACTATCTTTGCTCGTTTCCACATCGAGCTTTGTGTTCATCGCTTTGGATAGATTCCTTGCCGTATTTTTTCCGCTGCGACGCCCCATGACCAGAAATGTTATGGTTGCAATAATCGCCTTCACATGGATTCTTCCATGTTGCAGTTATTCTTTGCTATTCCACTACGCAACACTGAAAGATATATACGGAAAGACATATTGTGTCACTTCTATCCAAACAGATCTCTTGAAAACCCCAGAATTATTTCGTACCTTCTTTATCCTCGATTTTATCATCATGTCTGGAATTCCAATCGCTGCTGCCACAACTTTTTACACAGCTATTGGGCTTAAAATGTGCACTCGAGTAACCCCTGGGATTCAAACAGCTTCCAATGCCGCCCGGAATCGTATGGTCAGTCGTAAGGTGATATCTATGCTCGTTGCGGTCCTTATAGCATTTTGCATTTGCTGGATACCAACCTGGGCTTCCTTGGCCTGTCTATATTTGCCACAAAGGGGATTCTGCAACAGTTATGACTTCTTTTACTTCAAGTTTTTCATGTCATACTTTAACAGTGCGGTGACGCCTTACATCTACCCTGTCTTTAATCAGAACTTCCGTGAAGGATATGTGTACATTCTTACGCAAATTACTGGGAGGTGCTGTTTTTGGAAGATGTGCCGTTGCTGCAGTTATGCTCAAGTGCTCCCTCAACAGGAAGAAAAGCCATGCACAACTTCTAGTAGAACTGAAAGATTGTGTTTGAACACAACTGAGCTGTGATATTAAAAAAATCGATAGGATTACTTCGGGATGCTTGTGAATATCTGGTGGGGGAAAGAGACTCTTGGCGGGGTGCTTTATTGCAATTTGAAAAACACGAGAGGCCCGAAACAAGCAAAAAATAAATATGTTAACATAAAAAAACCAAAATGTCCATAATAAGAAAGACTAATGGAATATTATATTCTCCTGATAAAGCAGAATAAGAATAAAGCAAAAGAAAGCCAAAAGGGAAAGAAGGGAAATATATTGATTTCTACGGGTCTTTTATTCATATTCAAATAAATCATATTTATCAATTATGTTATTTATATTATTATTATTATTAGAGAGGTAGCATCTGCTCAATATAACAGACAAACGAGTTACTTATAAGAAAAATATGAAGCTCCTTAAAGTCGAAAATAAAGAATACATTATATCTGAGAGTCTGAATGGAAAGTTGACGGTTTTGAAGAACTTTGGTGGCGTTAAAGAACATTAGTGTTTGTTTTCTTTTTATAATTTTCTAAAGTAGTGAGGTTATAAAAGGAAATAACTCCTAAAAAAGCTCTCCTTTTCCTCAAGAAAGAGTACGCGCCTGTGCAATTTTTGAAAGAGTGTATAATAATGATCAGAAGATCACAATGCTTTTGGAGACTCCTGAGTGCACAAATATTTGTTTTGTTTCAATTTTCTTTTTCGATAAGGCATGAAATCAATGATGATGTTTTTTCAAAACTGAGAACACATTTAATAGCAATGAATGAATTAATAAAAGGTCTTAAATAAGGCAGTAAAATAATGATGAAAACATTATTAAGAACTCTTTTAATAGTGCGGCAATAGATGAAGCCGACAGTTCTGCTCCTGCTTTTGCTCCTCAAGAAATATACGTGCCCGTTAAATTTTTTTAAGGGTGGCCACAATGATATAATGGTCAAAAATAAATTATTTGTGACGCCTTAGTACATCAATGTTTTTGTTTGTTTGTTTTATTTTTTTATTTTTAATATTTTCATTAGATAAGGCGCGAAATCGGTGAAGATGTCTCATAAAACTAAATTCACATTGAAAGCGTGGAAGAAATTAACAAAATGTCTAGAATAAAGCAATAAAACTTTGATTGACAGCACGATTAAAAACTACCCTTAAAAGTTGGACAGCAGATAAAGCTAAAAATTATCATTTTGCTTCTCACAGTGTAGCAAATGAAAATTATTTGCTTTTAAGAGTTAATGATGTAACGGTAAAAAATATAGATGATTCAACATCTCTAAGCTCGGTTTCCATAACTTTGGTGTCGCTTAAAGTATATTAGTGTTTGTTTTGTTTCAATTTTTTTATTCTATAAGGCTAGAAATCGGTCATGTTGTCGCTTTAAACTGATAATACATTAAATAATGTTGAAAAATTCAATAAGAGGTCTGGAATAAGGCAGTTAAATTCTGACAACATGATTATTTAACAACTCCTTTAAAGTCTGGCAAGCGATGAAGCCAACAATTAACATCTTGCTTTGTGTTGACGTATTGCTTGTCCTCACCATCACAGCCATTCAATGTAACTCATATCTTTATTTTTTCCCGAGCTTTGAATTCTATTAAGTGCCAACAGCTTGAGTGCAAAAGTCAATAGAAAAAGTGTTCTCAGCAAAAAAGTTAATATACCTGTGACAAGTTCTTTGAAGTTTTTTGAAGGTCTAATTGGTTTCAACGAATGATTAAATACAGATGTCTTCTTTTGATAGAAGTGAGCTGCCAAGACACAAAGACTATCGTTTCACAAGAACAACGGCTTAATAACTGTTTTCATATGAGTGCAAAAGTCAATAGAAAAAGTGTTCTCAGCAAAAATGTTAATATACCTGTGACAAGTTCTTTGAAGTTTTTTGAAGGTCTAATTGGTTTCAACGAATGATTAAATACAGATGTCTTCTTTTGATAGAAGTGAGCTGCCAAGACACAAAGACTATCGTTTCACAAGAACAACGGCTTAATAACTGTTTTCATATGATTGTCTTTAAAGAGCAGTTACCGTTGTAATTGCAACCAAAGTTTAATATTATGTTGACAACATCTGTTGGCTGAACTAACAGCTTTTCAAATAGCAAGACGGGAAGAAATTGTGTCGAGACCTTTGTTTAAACGTTGTCTTTCGAGCAGTGATCATGAGTTTTGCCATCCACGCATTTGCTGAATCGTTTTCTTTATTTTCGGATGTGTCGAATGGATCTTCAAATTGGACAAACAGCAATGCTACGGTTCCTCGACCACTAGGAAACCAGATGGTAGTTAAGGAGCCGTTAGCTTCAACGGTTTTTAAAGTTCTAGCTTTGGCAATCGTCATAATTCTATCCCTGGTCGGGAATTTCGTCACAATTTCCTCAGTTTATCAGAATATGAACAGACGAATGCGAACTCTGAGCAACTATCTGATTGTGAATCTAAGTGTGGCGGATCTGCTTGTTACTGTATGTAACATACCACGAATAATTTCCATATTGTTAGTGGGTTACGAGTGGTTGATAAGAGGAAAGTTTGCTCTTTTCTTGTGTAAAGTCACCAGCGCTGTACCTTTTGTTGCTTTGCTGGTTTCTACTTTGAGTTTTACGTTTATCGCTTTGGATAGATTCTTAGCAGTATTTTATCCACTCCGACGCCCCATGACCAGAAAAATTATGGTTGGAATAATCGCCTTCACGTGGATTCTGTCATGCTGTTGCTACGCTCTGGTATTCCACTACGCAACGCTGGTAGAAATAAATGAAAAGACATATTGTGCTAACCGTATTGTGAGAGATCTTTTGAAATCACAAGAAAATTTCCGTACTTACTTGATCTGCGATTTTATTCTCGTGACTGGAATACCGATTGCTACGACCACAATATTGTACATCGTAATTGGGGTGAAAATGTGCACTCGGGTAACTCCAGGGAATCAAACTGCCGCCAATGCCGCGCGGAATCGTACAGTTAATCGTAAGGTGATATCTATGCTTGTTGCAGTCCTCATTGCATTCTGCATTTGTTGGATGCCAACTTGGGTTGCCTTGGCCTGTTTGAATGTGCCACCACCGAGAATGTGCCACAATGATGACTTCGCTTACATCAGGTATTTCCTGTCCTACTCAAACAGTGCAGTGACACCGTATGTCTACCCTGTTTTCAATCAGAGTTTTCGAGAAGGTTACCTGCATGCTTTGAGGCAAATTGCTTCATGCTGCTGTTTTCAGGGGATTTGTCAACGCTGCGGCAATAATCGAGTGCTCCCGTCAGAAGAAAGAACGACAGCTACTATTGCTTCTAGAACGGACAGAACGCGCTTTAATACCACTGTGCTGTGAGGTCCTAATAAGAACCTAATAAGATATGCAAGACAAAAACTAGTATAAAGACCCTAAGTTGAACCTTGAAAGTTGAAAAAGAGCCTTTTATACACTTTGAGATTATCTGAGTTTCTAATGTATAACGGTAGCTTATTCCACAACTTGCAAGCTATAAATGGAAAGGATTTATGCATCCACTTGACAAGCTTAGCGGAAAATTAAATCGACACGAGCAACTTAGTCCTTTCAAATATCGTATCTCTGCCAATACTGTCCATAGGGATTTACGTGATGGTAGTAATAGGATCGGCCTTACCCTGCAGCCAATTTTTGTCAGTAGAAAACTAGACCCTACAAGACCTTAGGCCAAAGGAAGTCAAGCCTTCCATTGTGAATCAACAATGAGTTGTTCACCACTTGTCATGTGATCTGTGCGATGCAGATCATGTCGATGACACAGCCCGACACTGTTTTATAACGCGTTGCTGAACAGTAAAATAAACAAAAAAGAAACAACAACAAAATAATCAAAGCTTTAAATTTCGGGTGGAATTACACGCGCCAACTCCCCGCATGGTGTTATTTGACAATTAGGCATAAGCAAGAGACCAAAGCTCGTGGACAAAAGTAACAACCATCCTATCGATCCACTAGAGTCCTTTATTTGGTCAGATGCTCTTTGATATTTGATACTCCAAATTAAGGCTGTTGGCAATTAGGCTAACAACAAAGCGAGTTAGGCCAGAATTGATTAAAAAAAAAGGGAGTGCCTCAAAGGCCGACAAGGCGAAATTTGGAAACTTTTGTGTTCGAGCGAGTGGGTAGTTGGTATTCGCCTTTGGGGGTAGCAATTTGAAGAGATCGTCAACTTTTATTGAATTTATTGGCCCTCGAGTGGCGACGGTTGGTTCTCAGGACCGGTTCCGACCTTCCTTCCCCACCGCACAACACGCGGTTGTGCGGTAGGGAGTCGACAAAATAGCGTTAAAACGGTCGGAAGCGACAAGGCGGCAACGGAGTAAAGGTAAGGAGAATTAACACGTTACATTTCTTGTTTCATTATCATTTCTATTTGTTTTTTGTTTTTTTTCTTTTTCTCTGCTCTTAAAATTCATTTTCTACTCATGTTGATGGCCTTTAAACCTAAAAATCACACAGTGTACCCTAGGGCCGCCGCGCTTAGACCTGTCACGCTAAGTGACCCATACACCACCGCCCTGATACTCCGCTGGCTGTAGAGAAACAAAGGCCTGAAAAACATGGCGGATCTTTCGAAAGATCTCCCTCTCACGTTTCGTATTGCAGAACCAAGCGATTTTGACGAAATTATAAGGTTATCAAATGAAGTTTTCCCAAGTGGAAATGACTATCTTCAGCACAAGATCAATAAGTGGCTTCAGATGAACAATTTGGCCATATTGCTTGCATTTGTCGATGAGAAGTTAGTCGGGTTACAAGCTTGCTTCATCGTGGATGAGGGACAAACATTTGTTCGTCAGGCGATGCGGTTCGCTCCAGACTTACAAGGCAGAGGTCTCTCGCGAAAACTTTCGCAAGCCATGGATGCCTACGTTCGGAAGAACTTCCCAAGTGTTCGGAGGTTGCGTTTTTCGAACTATGTTTATCGCGAATACTCGTCTGCTACGAAGATGGTTCTAGAGTTGGATAAGTTAGGGTACAGAGTGGAGCACTTACCGCTTGATCCTCACATGCCTTGCTCAGTGAAAAATTCAGAGCTCGTTTCATGTTCTAAGAAATATTTCTCAGAAGTCATTCTGTCTCGCGCATTTTCACACAAACTCTTCCCACTTAATGTCCTAATTGTTGACTGGTGCCCTTTCGAGGCCCTCTGTTCAAATATCGATTACATTTTACAAGACGACGATTTATTACTGACCGAGAGATGTGACGAATACGAGATGCCGAGGTCTTTTAGCTTTGGTCGGCTGTCACCGAAAGCAAAAGTTAAGGAGTGGATCGTGTCAGTGTACACTGACGACCCAAGGCTATTTGAAGCTCATGTTATTCAACAGTACTACGACGCTTGCAAGATTATCAAGGAAGAATTTACTTTTGTGTCTTTCCATGACAAAGGGCTGAGGAACCTTGGAAAAAAGACACTGGGAGAGAAACTAAACTTGCAGCATGATGAGTTTTATATGAATGAATCTCTTTTCTTGTATGAAAGGGATTTTGGTATGATAGATTCAGGCAATGTTTGTGAGGGAAAACAACTGTGAAGGACACAAATAGAATTATTTCAAAACTCAGCATTGCTAATGTGCAATGAGAAAGTTATTTAAATATTTATTTAGTTCTCAACCACAATTTTTTTCATTAGATAGCATTTTCTGTTGCACTGTCACTGTGCAATCACCTGAAAAATGTGGTGAGCATTCAAACTCCTAGGTTGCTATGATGTTTGAAAGTGAAAGCCCATTGTGTATGCAGGAATACTGAAAATAAATTAATGGCTGGTGACGATGGAAATCTTGATCGAACTGAGCTACTGTTTCAGGCCGAAAGCTTCCTTCTCTAGTGAGTCTAATTCATCAGCCATGAACGCGGCTAATGCTGAATTCTAAGATTCTGAACACCCCACCGCCATATAAAATTGTCTGTTCTTAGCTGCCTTCCATCTTGAAGGTATCAGGGGTTGTTGGAGGGGAAAAAGTTAACACTAGTGCGATACAATTTGGAAACCTTCTAAGCCACTCCTTAACTGTTGATGTAACGTAATAATTAATCACTGATGACATCCTAATGACACCAATTGTGGTTTCACGTGAGAAACTTTGAGACGCGGTTTAGAAGAACAGCATCGGTAGTTTGACGCCAGCTCGGCTCATTAGGTTCATAATTAAAACATTGTGGAGTATAAACATCAACTTACGCCAAATAACTTTGAGCTTCCACAATGACACATTCGACCTGTCATACGCTTAAATTAAGGCAATAACTGACTAAAGATAATTGTGTTAAATCAGCCGTCACTGAGATACCTAAGAGTTTTTACTTTGAAAATCATGTACTTTTACACCCATCCAGTGTATTTCATTACTTCAACTTTACACCACACGACTATTAGCTTCCACAGACATATCTGTTCAACCTTATTAAGAAACAAAATTTAATAAGATACCTTTAGTTTCCTTCCTTAAGATTGATACCTTTCTTCAATTGACCGGTATGCATCATTCAAGTGATTACTTTGAAATAGGTGTCGATATTGACCACATCCACTCAGCAGTTATTCACGAGGGGGCGTTGGGTCTTTCTGGAGTTTAACATTCTCGCAAATTATTCTATCATTAGTATAAATGCAGAACAGCGGTTTAATACAAAACTTGCTCAGAGCGTTAGAAAATCCCTAACAGTTGGTTTTAGGCTAAGTTACATTTTAAATGATATATATTTGTTTCCATCTGAACTTTGTGATTAAAATAAACAGCAGAGTTTGGCTGAGAGACAATCGATATTTACTGGTCTAACGATCTCACAGTTATTTGATATACAGCACGCAATTTGTTAATAGAACAAATTGAACTTCAAAATCTGAAACACTCCGAAGGTACTCTAGTTCTAGATTAAATAAAGGTAGAACTGAATTAGACTAATGCATAAAGTTATGAACAGATCATCTTCAACTTCCACTGAGTGATTCAAAGAAGACACGCCTCGTTTCATTTTCAATTTCAAAACATAGGCATAGGAATTTTAAAGAAGTTCTACCCTGATTTGTGCACAATTTCATTTTAGGATTAGGATTTGATGAACTCTTCAGAAACGAGGCTCGATACCTTTTTTTATTATTTTGTTCGCTACTGGAGCTTGATTGAAATAGAAAGAACAGCTCGAACGCGGAGCAGAAGTCCCTCTGTCAAGCACATAAATATCAAAGAGCACTTGTTTACAACTTTGGAAGAGCAAAGCGTCGTTCGGAAGTAATTATCACAAAGACCATAACACAAAGGGAAGTTTTAAAATAGAAACAGGAAACAGGCAAAACAGACCAGTTAAGAACACGAAGAAACTTTGAATAAATCCATCATTTTACATGGGAAAATGAATTATTTTCAAACTCCTTAAAAGTTCTGCAAATATCTTTACTATTTGATAAACCCACTGGTCAGGGTTAATTGGTAATCGGAATTAATCATAAGAAAGCCAAATTTTAATTTATTCACTTGGCGTCGATTCAAATTACCGGAAACTTTGTGATCAAAGTGTATATCTCAAAATTTAAAACGAAGGTTCAGACGCCCTTTTGTTTGAAAGCTTGGTAGTTTATTGGAAAAAATCTTCCTTCTAGGTCGAGAAAACAAAGTACTGATCAATACTCAGACAATACTATTTGAACATGAGCAGTACGCCTCGTGAATCATTAATGTAACAAATAAATACCTGCCAGAGGGAAATATCACTCAATGGAAAAATAACAGAAAAAAATAGCACAGTTTGACTTAGAGTAGTCTCACGCGAGTAACTGTATGACGCGGCTCTTGATAAACTGCGTCGGTATTTTGGGTTAACAAACAGAAGAATAACTGACACCAGTCGTGTTTTCAGATTTTGTAGCTGGGCAACCTAGGGCTGCGCACATTCGCCCCGTCCTTAAGGAGCTACACTGGTTACCTGTGGAGCAGCGAATTACCTTTAAAGTATAACTGTTAACTTTTAAAGCTCTCAATAATCTGGCGCCTCCGTATTTAAGTCAACTTATAGTCCCATATAACCCTACAAGAAATCTTAGGTCTGCTGGCAAACATTTATTAGAAGTACCGAATGTGCGCCTGAAGAGCTATGGGGACAGGGCCTTTTCGGTCGCTGCCCCAAAGCAATGGAATGATATTCCCTTAGACATTAAATTAAGAGGATCAGTTGATGTTTTTAAATCTAGATTGAAAACTTATCTTTTCAGACTCGCTTTCATTTGACTTTTTGTTTTAGTGTTATTGTAAGTTAGTTATTTTCTTTTTTGACTGTAAAGCGATATAGAGCTTTTGTATATACCGCTATACAAATAAAGTTATTATTATTATTATTTACATTTGCAACGAAATTCCTGTCCTGTTTCTATTGGCCAGTGGACTTCATTACTTGATGTGTGCACATTTGATACTCTCAGACTTTTCATTACATGTTAATGTGATCCACATGGGACTAGTTTATGAAGGGAGCGGGGAGGTATAGTCTTCACATTGGAGTCTCGGCTTCGGAAAGAAATGGAAATGAGGTTTTTTTTGTTTCCATTCATTGAAATTGCAAAATGGATTACAGCAGGGGCTCGCTTATCTATCTTCCGCAGCTGGACTTTGACGATCCAGAAAAATTAAAACCCTGTAAATTTTATTACTAGGTCATGCATCCCACTCAATTCCACTTTTTTACAGTTGACCAGTCACAGTCGTTAATTATTGGCAGCTTTGACAACATTACACAATGAAAAGATTCTTAAGTTGCTTAATATAAGTTTCACTTGGTTAACCCTTTTATTGCAACTGTAACCAACAATAAATTTGTAAAGCGAGACACGTATCAATATATTGGCTGTTAAAAATATGAAACAAATATTGATGGAAAATTCGAGTCCGTTACACAATCAGCCCTTGTCGAAAAAATATTTACAAAACCTCCGATCATTTCGTGCGAAAAGGGAAAATCCCTTAAAGACGTGCCTGTGAGAGCAAAATTACAATTTGAAGGCAATAATGCGACGCGACCACAAAAGCCACATAGGGAGTCCTTGCCGGTCTGTCTTTACCTTTATTCTCATGTTCATACATATTTATAGTGCTGATAAATCATATGTGACTCATGAGCCGTCTTTCGAGAAATACGTGTTTATTTTGGCCGTTGTTTTAAATTAATGTTTTCAAAGAAATGAGACCTTTTATCATTCAAAATCCAACTCAAAGTGACTTATTATGGATTGTAAATATTCCGAAACAAAATCTTGAAATTAGTCTCAAAATTGCATTTTAATGACAAGTCACCGAAATTCAGTTTTCAACTTTAGCTCAAATGTGTCACAAAGGTTATGATTAGTACATATTACTGATAAGAGCACTCGATGAACACCCAACAAATGATTGAGTGGATGAGACCTGAATCAATCTAGGCTAGTCTTTGGTTCTTTGAGCATCTCAAACGCACTGAAATTAACGGACAAGAACTTAAAATAACGGAATATGGATGCATGTAGTATATGCTATGAAATACGGTACACAACTCTCAAATAACGCATTCTAAGAAGACTCATTATATTTCCTTTTTCGGATAAATGCAAGGACATTTTATGAAATTATTAGCTCACTTTTGAGACTAGACTTTAATGAAACTGCATTTTAAAATTATGCAACTCTGTTCTTTAGCGAATATGCTATTAAAGGATCTTTCGAATTAACTCTTCCATGGAAAAGACGATGCGAGTGCAACTCATAGTTTTGTGTGGGAAGTAAACTTACAGTTTCGACACTCATCAAACACGATACGGGATACTCAGATCAAAACTCGAAAGTCTCGGCAGCTACTAATATTAACAGCCCCGACACCAATGCAAACTGTGCAGTTCCTTTGGGCATGGAAGAAAAAAAAGGCCTCTTGAATAAGTCACAATATTTCCATTTTTTTTCGATCCCCAAGGGTTCAATTCATTAACGGGTCTTAGATTACAATTTCGGTGTCGCCAAAGTTAAAGCTGTATTTGTTTTGTCTCAAGCATTCTAAAAGAGTAGGGTGAGAAAATAGCGAGAATGTACTCAAATACGGAACACAAAGTAAATTGCATCGGAAAAATCGGAAATAGCGCGTTTTAACTTCAAAGACAACCTAATTGAAATCTTTAATAAAGTTGGCGAAAGTACAAATTGTCCTCAATAATATTAATTGGGAATTTTCTATTGTTAGTTTCTTTGCATTTTCTCATGCTTTGAATGGATAGGATCGATTTCAGTGAGAAAAATCTTCAGTGGAAAAACTGTTACCGTCGCAGACTTAATTTCACTCTGTTTAGAAGCGTTTGGGTGAGATAACCATAAATATCTTTTGACGGAAGTCACTCGCAAGAAAAAAAAATTGGAGGATCTTACTTGAAGAAACACCCGCTTCGCAGCAATAGCTGTTGACTTAAAATTGCCATAAATAAACATTTAACATTGAAAAGTCAGCTAGTGTTTGATAATCCTACGAGTACATCTGAAGGCTGAAATAACAAACATTTCGCAGGGAAAACGAAAGAAGAACTGATTCCTTTGAATCCTCCAGTTTACAGTGCACTTCCTTACGATGAACAACACCTCGTCTCCTTACTTAATCTGCATCAATGCGGAAATTAAGAATGGATTTACAAATTGCACTAAGAGCAATGCAACGGTTTCCCTTCCTATCATAAATATTGCAAATCAAGCTGTGGCTCAAGAACCGCTAATTTCAATGGTTTTCAAAGTGCTGGCCTTGGTGATTGTCATAATACTTTCGCTTGTCGGGAATTTTCTCACAATCGGCTCAATTTACCAAAACGTGAACAAGCGGATGCGAACTCTGAGTAACTACCTGATTGTGAACCTCAGCGCTGCTGATCTGCTTATTACTATATGTAATATGCCTCGAATGATACTTATTCTCCTGGTGGGTTTTGAGTGGCGCATCGGGGGCAACTTTGGACTTCTCCTCTGCAAAATAACCAGCACTGTTCCTTCACTATCTTTGCTCGTTTCCACATCGAGCTTTGTGTTCATCGCTTTGGATAGATTCTTTGCCGTATTTTTTCCGCTGCGACGCCCCATGACCAGAAATGTTATGGTTGCAATAATCGCCTTCACATGGATTCTTCCATGTTGCAGTTATTCTTTGCTATTCCACTACGCAACACTGAAAGATATATACGGAAAGACATATTGTGTCACTTCTATCCAAACAGATCTCTTGAAAACCCCAGAATTATTTCGTACCTTCTTTATCCTCGATTTTATCATCATGTCTGGAATTCCAATCGCTGCTGCCACAACTTTTTACACAGCTATTGGGCTTAAAATGTGCACTCGAGTAACCCCTGGGATTCAAACAGCTTCCAATGCCGCCCGGAATCGTATGGTCAGTCGTAAGGTGATATCTATGCTCGTTGCGGTCCTTATAGCATTTTGCATTTGCTGGATACCAACCTGGGCTTCCTTGGCCTGTCTATATTTGCCACAAAGGGGATTCTGCAACAGTTATGACTTCTTTTACTTCAAGTTTTTCATGTCATACTTTAACAGTGCGGTGACGCCTTACATCTACCCTGTCTTTAATCAGAACTTCCGTGAAGGATATGTGTACATTCTTACGCAAATTACTGGGAGGTGCTGTTTTTGGAAGATGTGCCGCTGCTGCAGTTATGCTCAAGTGCTCCCTCAACAGGAAGAAAAGCCAGGCACAACTTCGAGTAGAACTGAAAGATTGTGTTTAAACACAACTGAGCTCTGATGTAAAAAAAATCGATAGGATTACTTCGGGATGCTTGTAATTATCTGATGGGACTCTTGACGGGGTGCTTATTGCAATTTGAAAAACATGAGAGGCCCGAAACAAGCAAAAAATAGGAAATAACAAAGGAAATAACTCCTAAGAAAGGTCTTCTTTGCCTCAAGAAAGAGCACGCGCCTGCACGATTTTTGAAAGAGTGTATGATAATGCTCAGAAGATCACAATGCTTTTGGAGACTCTTGAGTACACAAATATTTGTTTTGTTTCAATTTTCTTTTTCGATAAGGCGTGCAATCGATAATGATGTTTTTTTAAAACTGAGAACACATTCAATAGCAATGAATAAATTAATAAAAGGTCTTAAATAAGGCAGTTAAATTTGATGAAAACATTATTAAGAACTCTTTTAAGTGCGGAAATAGATGAAGCTAACAGTTCTGCTCTTGCTTTTGGACCTCAAGAAATGTACGTGTCCGTTAAATTTTTTTAAGGGTGCCAATGGTATAATAGTCAAAAATAAATTATTTGTGACACCTTAGTACATCAATGTTTTCGTTTGTTTGTTCTTTTTTAATTTTTAATATTTTCATTCGATAAGGCGCGAAATCGGTGAAGATGTCTTATAAAACTAAGTACACATTGAAAGCGTGGAAGAAAGTAATAAAATGTCTAGAATAAGGCAATTAAACTTTGATCGACAGCACGATTAAAAACTACCCTTAAAGTTGAGCAACAGATAAAGCTAAAAATTATCACTTTGCTTCTCTCAGTGTACCAAATGAAAATTATTTACTTTTACGATCTAATGATGTAACGGTAAAAAATATAGATAATTCAACATCTCTAAGCTCGGTTTCCATAACTTTGGTGTCGCCTGAGTACATGAGTGTTTGTTTTGTTTCAATTTTTTTATTCTATAAGGCTAGATATCGGTCATGTTGTCGCTTTAAACTGATAATACATTAAATAACGTTGAACAAATCAATAAGAGGTCTAGAATAAGGCAGTTAAATTCTGACAACATGATTATTTAACAACTCCTTTGAAGTTTGGCAAGCGATGAAGCCAACAATTAACATCTTGCTTTGTGTTGACGTATTGCTTGTCTTCACCATGACAGCCATTCAATGTAACTCATATCTTTGTTTTTCTCGAGCTTTGAATTCTATTAAGCGCTAACAGCTTGAGTGCAAAAGTCAATTGGAAAGGTGTTCTCAGCAAAAAAGTTAATATACCTATGACAAGTTCTTTGAAGCTTTTTTGAAGGTCTAATTGGTTTCAACGAATGATTAAATACAGATGTCTTCTTTTGATAGAAGTGAGCTGCCAAGACACAAAGACTATCGTTTCACAAGAACAACGGCTTAATAACTGTTTTCATATGATTGTCTTTAAGGAGCAGTTGCCGTTGTAATTGCAACCACAGTTTAATATTATGTTGACAACATCTGTTGGCTGAACTAACAGCTTTTCAAGTAGCAAGACGGGAAGAAATTGTGTCGAAACCTTTGGTTAAACGTTGTCTTTCGAGCAGTGATCATGAGTTTCGCCATCCATGCATTTGCTGAATCGTTTTCTTTATTTTCGAATGTGTCGAATGGATCTTCAAATTGGACAAACAGCAATGCTACGGTTCCTCGACCACTCGGTAACCAGATATTAGTCAAGGAGCCGTTAGCTTCAACGGTTTTTAAAGTTCCAGCTTTGGCAATCGTCATAATTCTATCCCTGGTTGGGAATTTCCTCACAATTTCCTCAGTTTATCAGAATATGAACAGACGAATGCGAACTCTGAGCAACTATCTGATTGTGAATCTAAGTGTGGCGGATCTGCTTGTTACTGTATGTAACATACCACGAATAATTTCCATATTGTTAGTGGGTTACGAGTGGTTGATAAGAGGAAAGTTTGCTCTTTTCTTGTGTAAAGTCACCAGCGCTGTACCTTTGTTGCTTTGCTCGTTTCTACTTTGAGTTTTACGTTTATCTCTTTGGATAGATTCTTAGCAGTATTTTATCCACTCCGACGCCCCATGACCAGAAAAATTATGGTTGGAATAATCGCCTTCACATGGATTCTGTCATGCTGTTGCTACGCTCTGGTATTCCATTACGCAACACTGGTAGAAATAAATGGAAAGACATACTGTGGTAACCGTATTGTGAGAGATCTTTTGAAATCACAGGAAAATTTCCGTACTTACTTGATCTGCGATTTTATTCTCGTGACTGGAATACCGATTGCTACGACCACAATATTGTACATCGTAATTGGGGTGAAAATGTGCACTCGAATAACTCCAGGGAATCAAACTGCCGCCAATGCTGCCCGGAATCGTACAGTTAATCGTAAGGTGATATCTATGCTTGTTGCAGTCCTCATTGCATTCTGCATTTGTTGGATGCCAACTTGGGTTGCCTTGGCCTGTTTGAATGTGCCACCACCGAGAATGTGCCACAGTGATGACTTCGCTTACATCAGGTATTTCCTGTGCTACTCAAACAGTGCAGTGACACCGTACATCTACCCTGTTTTCAATCAGAGTTTTCGAGAAGGTTACCTGCATGCTTTGAGGCAAATTGCTTCATGCTGCTGTTTTCAGGGGATTTGTCGACGCTGCGGCAATAATCAAGTGCTCCCGTCAGAAGAAAGAACGACAGCTACTACTGCTTCTAGAACGGACAGAACGCGCTTTAATACCACTGAGCTGTGAGATCCTAACAAGAACCTAATAACATATGCAAGACAAAAACTAGTATAAAGATCCTAAGTTGAACTTTTGAAGAGCCTTTTAAACACTTTGAGATTATCTGAGTTTCTAATGTATAACGGTAGCTTATTCCACAACTTGCAAGCTATAAATGGAAAGGATTTATGCATCCACTTGACAAGCTTAGCGGAAAGTTAAACCGACACGAGTAACTTAGTCCTTTCAAAGATCGTATCTCTGCCAATACTGTCCATAGGGATTTACGTGATGGTAATAATAGGATCGGCCTTACCCTGCAGCCAATTTTTGTCAGTAGAAAACTAGACCTTACAAGATCTTAGGCCAAAGGAAGTCAAGCCTTCCATTGTGAATCAACAATGAGTTGTTCACTACTTGTCGTGTGATCTGTGCGATGCAGATCATGTCGATGACACAGCCCGACACTGTTGTATAACGCGTTGCTGAACAGTAAAATAAACAAAAAAGAAACAACAACAAAATAATCAAAGCTTTAAATTTCGGGTGGAATTACACGCGCCAACTCCCCGCATGGTGTTGTTTGACAATTGGGCATAAGCAAGAGACCATAAGCTCGTGGGCAAAAGTAACAACCTTCCTATCGATCCACTACAGTTCTTTATTTGGTCAGATGCTCTTTGATATTTGATACTCCAAATTAAGGCTGCTGGCAATTAGGCTAACAACAAAGCGAGTTAGGCCAGAATTGATTAAAAAAACAAAGGGAGCGCCTCAAAGGCCGACAAGGCGAAATTTGGAAACTTTTGTGTTCGAGCGAGTGGGTAGTTGCTATTCGCCTTTGGGGGTAGCAATTTGAAGAGATCCGTCAACTTTTATTGAATTTCTTGGCCCTCGAGTGGCGACGGTTGGTTCTCAGGACCGGTTCCGACCTTCCTTCCCCACCGAACAACACGCGGTTGTGCGGTAGGGAGTCGACAAAATACCGTTAAAACGGTCGGAAGCGACAAGGCGGCAACGGAGTAAAGGTAAGGAAAATTAGCACGTTACATTTCTTGTTTCATTATCATTTCTATTTGTTTGTATTTTTTTTTTCTTTTTCTCTGCTCAAAAATCATCTCACCTAAAAATCACACAGTACAGTGTACCCTGGGGCCGCCGCGCTTGGACCTGTCACGCTAAATGACCCCTACACCACAGCCCTGATACTCCGCTGGCTGTAGAGAAACAAAGGCCTGAAAAACATGGCGGATCTTTCGAAAGATCTTCCTCTCACATTTCGTATTGCAGAACCAAGCGATTTTGACGAAATTATAAGGTTATCAAATGAAGTTTTCCCAAGCGGAATTGACTATCTTCAGCACAAGATCAATAAGTGGCTTCAGATGAACAATTTGGCCATATTGCTTGCATTTGTCGATGAGAAGTTAGTCGGGTTACAAGCTTGCTTCATCGTGGATGAGGGACAAACATTTGTTCGTCAGGCGATGCGGTTCACTCCAGACTTACAAGGCAGAGGTCTCTCGCGAAAACTTTCGCAAGCCATGGATGCCTACGTTCGGAAGAACTTCCCAAGTGTTCGGAGGTTGCGTTTTACAAACTATGTTTATCGCGAATACTCGTCTGCTACGAAGATGGTTCTAGAGTTGGATAAGTTAGGGTACAGAGTGGAGCACTTACCGCTTGATCCTCACATGCCTTGCTCGGTGAAAAATTCAGAGCTCGTTTCATGTTCTAAGAAATATTTCTCAGAAGTCATTCTGTCTCGCGCATTTTCACACAAACTCTTCCCACTTAATGTCCTAATTGTTGACTGGTGCCCTTTCGAGGCTCTCTGTTCAAATATCGATTACATTTTACAAGACGACGATTTATTACTGACCGAGAGATGTGACGAATACGAGATGCCGAGGTCTTTTAGCTTTGGTCGGCTGTCACCGAAAGCAAAAGTTAAGGAGTGGATCGTGTCAGTGTACACTGACGACCCGAGGCTATTTGAAGCTCATGTTATTCAACACTACTACCACGCTTGCAAGATTATCAAGGAAGAATTTACTTTTGTGTCTTTCCATGACAAAGGGCTGAGGAAACTTGGAAAAAAGACACTGGAAGAGAAACTAAACTTGCAGCATGATGAGTTTTATATGAATGAATCTCTTTTCTTGTATGAAAGGGATTTTGGTATGATAGATTCAGGCAATGTTTGTGAGGGAAAACAACTGTGAAGGACACAAATAGAATTATTTCAAAACTCAGCATTGCTAATGTGCAATGAGAAAGTTATTTAAATATTTATTTAGTTCTCAACCACAATTTTTTTCATTAGATAGCATTTTCTGTTGCACTGTCACTGTGCAATCACCTGAAAAATGTGTTGAGCATTCAAACTCTTAGGTTGCTATGATGTTTGAAAGTGAAAGCCCATTGTGTATGCAGGAATACTGAAAATAAATTAATGGCTGGTGACGATGGAAATCTTGATCGAACTGAGCTACTGTTCCAGGCCGAAAGCTTCCTTCTCTAGTGAGTCTAATTCTTCAGCCATGAACGCGGCTAATGCTGAATTCTAAGATTCTGAACACCCCACCGCCATATAAAATTGTCTGTTCTTAGCTGCCTTCCATCTTGAAGGTATCGGAGGTTGTTGGAGGGGAAAAAGTTAACACTAGGGTAATACAATTTGGAAACCTTCTAAGCCACTCCTTAACTGTTGATGTAACGTAAAAATTAATCGCTGATGACATCCTAATGACACCAATAGTAGTTTCACGTGAGAAACTTTGAGACGCGGTTTAGAAGAACAGCATGGTAGTTTGACGCCAGCTCGGCTCATTAGGTTCATAATTAAAACATTGTGGTGTATAAACATCAACTTACGCCAAATAACTTTGAGCTTCCACAATGACACATTCGACCTGTCATACGCTTAAATTAAGGCAATAACTGACTAAAGATAATTGTGTTAAATCAGCCGTCACTGAGATACCTAAGAGTTTTTAACACTGAAAATCATGTACCTTTTCTCCCATCCAATGTATTTCATTACTTCACCTTTACACCACACGACTATTAGCTTCCACAGACATATCTGTTCAACCTTATTAAGAAACAAAATTTAATGAGATACCTTTAATTTCCTTCCTTAAGATTGATACCTTTCTTCAATTGACCGGTATGCATCATTCAAGTGATTACTTTGAAATAGGTGTCGATATTGACCAGGGTGTAACAATGGACGGTACTTTGATCCACTCAGCAGTTATTCACGAGGGGGCGTTGGGTCTTTCTAGAGTTTAACATTCTCGCAAATTATTCTATCATTAGTATAACTGCAGAAGAGCAGTTTAAAACAAAACTTGCTCTGAGCGTTAGAAAATCCCTAACAGTTGGTTTTAGGCTAAGTTATATTTTAAAAGATATATATCTGTTTCCATCTGAACTTTATGATTAAATTAAACAGCAGAGTTTGGCTGAGAGACAGTCGATATTTGCTGGTCTAACGATCTCACAGTTATTTGATATACAGCACGCAATTTATTACATAGAACAAATTCAACTTCAAAATCTGAGACACTCCGAAGGTACTCTAGTTCTAGATTAAATAAAGGTAGAACTGAATTAGGCTAATGCATAAAGTTATGAACAGATCATCTTCAACTTCCACTGAGTGATTCAAAGAAGACACGCCTCGTTTCATTTTCAATTTCAAAACATAGGCATAGGAATTTTAAAGAGGTTCTACCCTGATTTGTGCACAATTTCATTTTAGGATTAGGATTTGATGAACTCTTCAGAAACGAGGCTCGATACCTTTTTATTATTATTTTGTTAGCTTGATTGAAATAGAAAGAACTGCTCGAACGCGGAGCAGAAGTCCCTCTGTCAAGCACATAAATATCAAAGAGCACTTGTTTACAACTTTGGAAGAGCAAAGCGTCGTTCGGAAGTAATTATCACAAAGACCATAACACAAAGGGAAGTTTTAAAATAGAAACAGGAAACAGGCAAAACAGACCAGTTAAGAACACGAAGAAACTTTGAATAAATCCAATATTTTGTATGGGAAAATAAATTATTTTCAAACTCCTTAAAAGTTCTGCAAATATCTTTACTATTTGATAAACCCACTGGTCAGGGTTAATTGGTAATCGGAATTAATCATAAGAAAGTCAAATTTTAATGTATTCACTTGGCGTCGATTCAAATTACTGGAAACTTTGTGATTAAAGTGTATATCTCAAAATTTAAAACGAATGTTCAGACGCCTTTTTGTTTGAAAGCTTGGTAGTTTGTTGGAAAAATCTTTCTTCTAGGTCGAGAAAACAAAATACTGATCAATACTCAGGCAATACTATTTGAACATGAGCAGTACGCCTCGTGAATCATTAATGTAACAAATAAATACCTGCCAGAGGGAAATATCACTCAATGGAAAGATAACAGAAAAAAAGAGCACAGTTTGACTTAGAGTAGTCTCACGCGAGTAACTCTATGACGCGGCTCTTGATAAACTGCGTCGGTATTTTGGGTTAACAAACAGAAGAATAACTGACATCAGTCGTGTTTCAGATTTTACATTTGCATCGAAATTCCTGTCCTGTTTCTATTGGCAAGTGGACTTCATTACTTGATGAGTGCACATTTGGTACTCTCAGACTTTTCATTACATATTAATGTGATCCACATGGGATTAGTTTATGGAGGGAGTGGGGAGGTATAGTCTTCACATTAGAGTCTCGGCTTCGGAAAGAAATGGAAATGAGGTTTTTTTGTTTCCATTCATTGAAATTGCAAAATGGATTACTGCAGGGTCTCGCTTATCTATCTTCCGCAGCTGGACTTTGACGATCCAGAAAAATTAAAACCCTGTAAATTTTATTACTAGGTCATGCATCCCACTCAATTCCACTTTTTTACAGTTGATCAGTCACAGTCGTTAATTATTTGCAGCTTTGACAACATTACACAATGAAAAGATTCTTAAGTTGCTTAATGTAAGTTTCACTTGGTTAACCCTTTTATTGCAA